CTCCTTCCCATTGAATGGGATGGCAAATCGGATCATGTCAATGCATCGCAGTGCAATTTCTGCTGCCGGGCCCCCAAACAATAGTCCTTTGATTTGCGAAGGGTTAAATGGCCAAATTGTCGAAAGGCGGCCGACTCGCTTTGATCCCTTCCTGGCTCCTTTCGCACAGCGATTTGCAAAAACATTTGCCACATATGTACCCGTGCATTTCCTCATTTTCCGGCCTGCATTGTATATTGTATTTGTTTATGGCAATATTGAGTCTGATTCTGTTTTGATTGAAACCGCAGAGAAGACTGCCATTGTCGGAATAGTTAAGGTAGCACATGGGAGTTGTCAATAGAGGGAGTTTCCTAACAGATTTTGACAACTAACTGGACTGAGAAAATTGGCAACACTTTTTGCCGGAGTTGGGAAGGGCTATTTTCCATTATCTTAATTGTCTCAAAATCTGAAAAATACAATAGATATCTGATAAAATGTGTATTTCTCAAAAATACATTCATTAACTGCTGTAAGTATAGTTTTGATTCTAAATATAAAACTCAAATATTACAAAACCATACTAGTTTTCACTTCCGAAAGATTTACACGGAATCGAAATTCCCAGACCTGTTCCAAGGTCTTTCGAAAGAATTGCACGGATTCAAATATCCCTCGTTGTTACTCTTTTAACTTCTGTTAAAAATTCACACGGAAATTTTCCGACAGGCATTTGACAGGCCGACTTAAATCCGCTAGCACGAAATCAAATTCACTTCCGAGAGAAAGCTGGAAAAAGCCGGATAATGTATTTTATTTTATGTGTAGAAATTATGTCTTATAAAAATCATTTATTAAAAAATATAAACAAAATTTTAAATTCTGGGTTTCGAAACAAAAAAATAAATAACAAAAAATTAAATGCAGGTCCCATTCTTTATGAATACGAAAATCCGAAAATATGTTTAAAGATTAATTTAATCTACATTTAATTTCGTAGATTTAAGGAATGGTGAAGAAATAAATTCTAAAAAACTTGTTCTTAAAAGTGCTCTGACAAAAATACCAGCAAGTGGCTCCCTTTTTGAAAATATATAATCCTATATCTCAATGAACTTAACGATCTAAAATTGTTTTTGTGGAAAATATCCCCCAAATGCGTCTCATTCCATCACAAATGATACCAGCACAATAAAACTTGGTTGAGAATAGGGCAAATAGCATTAAACACATTCCGGCAAACCCATTTGTAAGCCACTGCGTGTGGCCGCAGGGTTATTTGCCAGAGATTCAAGTAGAATGGAACTGAGGAAGGAGGAGCGGGAAAAGCTTAAGCCACCGCTAAATGCAATCGATGCACTGCAGCCGCACAATTTCCATTGTATTGGTGATTAATTTCTTGCCTCCGGGTGGCTACAGATGATGATGGGGTCCTGTCTCTGCGACCGGGTATTCCATCGACACAAGGACTGCGTTCGCATCTCGGCTTTGTAAACAAGTTGACAGACAGGCATCCGGCATCCAGGGCATCGAGCACCAGCAATAGCACTAGGCACTCCCTTCCTCGAGGAGCGAACGCGATGAGAGCTGTATTGACGTTTGATGAGCAGATTATCATCGGCAGCAGTTTCCCCTGCCAGGACAAGTGTTGGATCGGGATCAGAATCGGAATCGGGATAGGGGTTTTTCTCGCCACACAATAACTGCGCCATTTCCCACCGATTTTCCTTCAACAATATGTGCGCCAAACTGTTGAAAATCCTCCTCGATTGTTCTTTAATGCTCGCAGCACTTGTTGCAACCCGTTGGCAATTGCTAAACTATTTTATTCTCCGTTTAGCCTTTATGGGCTACTACATATATGGGTTTATGTGCTCTGGCTGGCGATGCATAACTTTGAGTTTTTAATGCGAAAAAGTTTTTATTTGGCTGTGAAATGGACGCTGTAAACGATCCATAAAATTTAAAAATCAAAACGAGGAGGAGAAAATATTTTAGTTTGCTAAGGGCCGTTTTCTCGACCGTTTGTTAAATTCATAGTAAGGTTAAAACCTTAAAATCGTATGAGAAATCAAAGTTTTAACCCTACTTTAAATTTAACAGGCGGACGGGAAAACGGCCGTAAGTGTCGAAATAATATGGATTTTTTTCTATATAACTTCGTTATCCAAAATAAATTTTATTAAAATATAAAAAATATTTTCACTTTCATTTTATTTAATTGTCAATGATTACTTTAATAGAAAATCGTAAACTGTTGTATTACACTTTCTAAAATATTTTTTACTTGTTTCCCCTTAATTCACCCATATTGCTAACTTTAAAAACGTAGGTTTAAACATGGAACCATCGTGCAGAACAGCGTCATTCAACCGGATTCAAATAAAAGACCGTATTAATATCGTGACGCCCGCATTTTAGCTGTTGCAATAAAGACTAGTTTTATATCACGAAGCCCCCTTGTGAGGGGGAGGCGAGAGGTTTCAAATAAAGTGCAACCCAAGGACGGGGTACAAAGTTGGCATGTTAGTTCCCATCCGCAAAATAAACCTCATAAATGTCGGGCAATAACAGGCAGCACAAATTGTGTGGCAGGATCATAAAGTGCACGCACGGAAGGAGTAAAACCGAGCAACCCAATTTCCTTTCAGCCACAAAAAGTGCAAGATGAATTACCGTTTGGCAGTGTGTAAGTGAGTAGAGTCTGAGTCCTGGCTGAAAGTCTGTCCATCCGTTGACTCTGTTGCCGTCTCTTTCCCATGTACCATCGCCCTCTCTTTCTCTCCCATTCGCTTTCGTGTGTAGGTGAGCGTATAATGAGCTGCTGTTTTACATTTTAATTTCCGGCCACGTTCAAATGGCTGTCCGCCTGTCCGTCCGGCTAGAAGCAGAGATTTGCGGATTTGCTCTTTGTCCCATCTCGCTTCGCATTTCCACTGTTGTTGGCCGCAATTATTTAAATGAGATTACAAAAGACTTATGCAGCGGAAATCTTATTGTGTGTGTGTGTTTGCCGTTCATTTGTCTGCCGCTGGCTGCTTCTTGTTCCCGAATCCTTGTTCCGGATTTTGGATTCCGGATTCCCTACTCCCGACTTCCTCCTTTTGGCCCGGCTCAGATTACGGCTTAGAAGACGTGTGTCAAAAGTTATCCCGGCCAATTGTTTGGCTTTTGTCCAAACTACAATAAAGTCCATGTGCCTAGCTAATTTGATTGTTAATTGTTCTTTTTTTTGGCCAACAGATTAGCTTGGCGTTGTCCTGGCTCTGAGGCTCTAATGAGTTTGTCCGTAGTTTCCACTAACGGACACATGTCAGTTTATTAAGTTGGCTCTAAAGACCTAAAAGTGTGGGAAAAGTTAAAACTAACTAAATTAGCTTTTAAATGGGGTAATAGAATGCTGGGGACTGTGAGCTGAAACTGAAAGAGCTTGCGGGCAAAAGTGTATATCAATTTGTTCTTGAATTTTACAAAGAATTCATAATTTATGTACTATTCGAAAGGTTGAAGATATATCGAACACAAGAGCGCGATTTTAATTACATTTAAGTTAATCAATCAACGTTACATTCATCATTTATTGGGTTGCCTTTGGCTATTTAGGTTGGAAAACAAAAACCCAATAATACTTAAATAATTATAATAATAATTAGGGAGAAATTAATTATGTTGAAGAAAAAATAACATGCAGCTTAACTTAAAAATCCTTATTAAATAAATATGTATTACTTATTTTTCGCTGCCTAATTGCTTTTCTTTCATCGTATAACAAAAGTCCTTGACTAAGAAGCTCTTTTGTGCTTTGCCTTTTAAAGAGTGCACTCCCAAAACAAAACTCATATTTTCCCGTTGGTTTATTCCAACTTTATGGAAGCACTTAACCTGCTCCCTCTTCACTCACTTTGGAATTCAAATGAGCCCCAGTAAATCTCTACTCAGGAATGCGAAAACCTTTTCCATTGGTAGCCAAAGCCAAAGCCCGTGCCACATCTCGTCACCGCCTTTCAACCGTTGACCAACCGTTGCCACTTTAGCCCCCTCCCGTTTTGGCCCACATTTAAGCAGCCGAAGCCTTTTGCACCTGGACGAGCCACGCAGAATAGCTTTGGGCGCTCAGCAATTCGAAGACTGCAGGACCACACCTAAGTGTCCTGGCCAGCCATCCAAAGCAGCCAGCACCGCAGGATATTTGTGCATACAATAAAAAACTTGCCACCACACCGGCTTAAACAGAAACTGAAACAACAACGGCGATGACAATTTCCATTTGCCCCACTATCCCCCCGCTTTCCATTTGTCCCAGAGGTGTGGGTTTGGCTTAACCTTGGTTTAAAAAGGGGGGGTTGGCGGGTGGGTGGTGGTCAAGCTCAAGGACGTCGGCTGAGTGGAGTGACAGGACATCGTTGTTGTTGCTGCTGGCATGTCTGCGGCAGGGAGAGCAATCTAGAAAAATTACTGCAATATGGAATAACAGTAACTATTGTGCTAATAGGATTAAAATGTATGCAGCACAATGGCAGCTTATGGGGGGCGCATCCACGGGCGCCGTCTGCCGCTGACAGCCAAAAAGGGGGGTCAACGAAATGGATGGGGGTGAGGAAGGGGGAAAACACCTCACCTCCCTCCCATACAGGTGTCAACAGATGCTGAGCGTTTTTCAACGGACAACCTCACGTATCTTTTGTTTGCGATTATGACACACATACATTCCCCGTATATCACCGCCCGCAAAAGGTTGCTTTCAAATCCAGATAGGACACATATGGAAAGTGTAATTTAGGTGCGCGGAAGCGTGAACAAGTTGGAAAGGAAATTTGGAAACAGAGATTAGTTTTTCTTTTACATGCAGTTTCTTTGCCACAAAATATCTAACACGAAATTAAGTTATTTGTGAAATAACATAAATTAAAATTAATATTATTTATTTTGCTTTCTTAAAATAATAATAACTTGAAATAATTAAAATCACATCTCCTGCCGGATAAATGATAAAAGTAAAATAAAGAAAAGCCGAGTGTAGTGATTGCAGTTTTTATGAATCCGAAAGAAATCTATTTCTCAGGCCGGCAAGGTCCATCTATGCAGGGATCCCGACAGCGTTTGCTTTTCTCCTTCTTGTTCTCCCTCCTAAAAGGTTCCGATTCTGAAAAGATGGTTAAATGGTAAAAATGGAACCGCTTTGATAGGTCGATTACCACCCACTCTTGAAGCAGCCGCCAAAGAACTGGGTCTTTCCACAGGTCTTCTTGCCCTTCTCGGTGCCATGGCTTTGGTCCTTCTTCTTAGCCATTCCCCTCGAACAATATAAAGATTGATGGAGCAGCTTGCATTTGGGCAGGATGTTTTCGCCCAGATTCAGGATACTAAGCAGACGACCGGCCATTACGACGGGAGTTAACTGAACAATTTTGCAAAACAAAATTATTAACTGCTGACAAATGAATGGGAAATGACGGAATCGAAAATAGAAAACTGAGATTTAAACTATAGCAGCCTGCTAATCGAAAGTTTTCCGTTAAAGTTTTCACATGCTAATGCCCAGAACACTATGAAACTCCCCATCTCTTTGCTTCCGGCGGCAACAAGTTTGTAATGACTTTGAGCAACTAATTAGAATGCAGCAGGATTACGATGCACTCGCCCACCAAAATGCAAACACTTTAATCGAAAAAGTTCAGAGGCATTCAAATTAATTTCCCCTGTCGTGTTTGCTCACACCCTCGTAAATCGCCATAGAATTTTAAAAGGAAAACAGCAGTTAAATGAGAAACAAATATGAGAATATTAAAAGGACTTACTAGGAATTAAAAAATAAATGTGCAATGGAAACATTATTTATTGTTGACGTTATTACAAATAATATATATTAAAGTTATTATTTTTAAAATTTATAAATTCAACTTTAATTTTGTACCCGAAACAAAGACGTTAAATTTTAAAGTTCCTTAACCCTTTAAAAACTCGGGATAAAATCATTAAATAATAAAAGCTACCTTAATTCGATTGCTCTATCTATGTGTCTATGTCTTTTCGTATAAATCCATAAGTATCTCATAGATGTTATGTGCAATCTTAAGTTTAAAGAAACATCTTTGAAGTATGTCAGAGTTGTTTGAGCTGAGCTGGCTGAGAGTATTATCGTGTTTATATATACTTATGTACATATCCTTGCGCTTATACTTGCACACACATTACGGCTACGTTCGAAGCCAATGTTTTAGCACTTAGTGTGCAAGCTTATAACTGACAGTCAAGAGCAGGAAAATTCAAGGAAAAATAGGAAAGCAGAAGAGGAAATGCGAAAGAGAAAAGTTGAAAGTTCAGCGCAGCCTAGCACGGCGAAGTGGAAATGCTCTATCATAAAGGAAAATGTAGAGTTATGTGAAGAGATGGCTCTCGCCATGGTAATCCCATTAATCAATCCTTCAGCAATATCAAACAAGCTGGAAAATTTCAATTTCATATTTATCTACTCGAGTGTCCTGGGGGTTGGAACCCGCACCGTTGATACGTTGATGATGTGTTGCAGTTGCCACATGCAGCACCTTTTTCCCTCTGGTCCTCTGGGTGCGGCTGCCTTTGAGCTAGGGTTTTTAGTTCTCCTTTATTTTTTCCTTTTTTTGGGGTATTTTTGCCTGGATTTTTCGCTCATTTTCTATTTATATGGGGTGAGAAATGTGAAAACTGTGGGCTTGGCTGTTTGTCGCTTTGATTGCAGTTTACATAGGTGTCAATTAGCAACGGTGCGGTTGGCTGCATTTCAATGGAATTATCGTTGATGTTTTCGCAGTTCCCCCCCTAAAATTCCCGGCGATGTGCAACACTCTTGGTTGACACTCGAGGGGATCAAAGGAGGATTAGAGAGCACACTTTAGAGCTTCGAAAGTGACACCCAAATTACTGGTTTATGTTGTCGTTTTATGGGTGAAAATAGTTGTTTATTTAATACTATAAAATCCCCTCTTATTAGTGACGGGGATTCTTCAATATGGCGAGGTTTGGCAAATTTTAATCAATTATTTATCTAATAGTAGGATGCATTAAAGGGAATATTTTATTTTATTAATAAAGTAGATGTTTTTTTTTTGTTGAATAATAATTTTTTATATTTATTGGGTACATAACCCCACAACTACTTTTAACTTTACTATGCGGCCTTAATTTTTTCTTTATTTATCTTTGGCATTTACTGATCTCTAAAATAAATAAATTGGTTCTAAAATTTTTTCTTATCCCGAAAGTGTTTAATTGCAGTTTTTATTCACAAGTTATTTCAATTCGTAATCTCTGAATATAATAAGAACGGCTGTGTTTTATTAACAGCTGTGTGTTTCTTTCCCCTCAAAAAATCAGCAGCCAAATCGGCGACAGGCAGAGCAATGAAAGTGATGAATAACTCAGAGTAATGTTACGAAATCAATAAAAATCCTTTTACAAGATCTAGGACACACCGCACACACGCACATTAGGGACATTAAGGGCTGTCGGTGTGCGACAAAGACTTGGACAACATTTTTCTTTGACCGAGCACATTTTTATTATCCCAAACTAATTTGAGGGTTGGTCCTTGATTTCTCCATCTCCATCCCTGTCGCACTTCGAGTCTGTATCCGCATGCCTGTCTCTTTCCTTTCTCCAGGGTCGTTGCCATGTTTTGATGTCATTCGCTACACGTGCTTAATTTCATTTAATTTATTTAATACTTGAAAAATAAGTTTTTTGTTTACTTTTGTATTGAGCAACCACCCCTCGCTCTCGCTGCTGCCCGTTTCGAGTTCCCCGATATGCGGATATATCTCTCCCCGATTCTCCGTCTATTAAACGGCACTTGGGCGTGGACAAATGCCAATGAATTCGCATTTCGCCATTCGCCACGCTGCGTAACGAAAAAAACGTGAAAATTCTGGGAGTGGAATGGAATGCAAAGGGCGAAATCGAAATGCGGACTGCAAGACAAATTGTCCGCCGGGGAATTGTGAGGTTCGCCGGAGAATGCCTCGCCTGCATATTCATGATATCGTAGGAATGGAGCCGAGAAAGAGCCTCCTCTACATATTTATGGGCTCGCTGAAGGCTGTCTAATATTAACCACAAGTTTGCAGAAACAGCAGGAAGCAGTTAAAGTAAAACTTTCATTAGCATCAGCATCTGCCACTATCGTATACTGTTTTTTGGTCCGTCGTGGCAGATTTTACACCGAGGCTTAAAGGGAACAGACTTTTTTGGTCAGTATTATATTTTATATTATATATTCTATAAGAAAAATATTTCTTCAATGTTAACAAAATTGCAAGAAATGATTAAATACAATTTAAAATCAAATAACAGAAACCGTATTAACAACCTTTTTGTTTCCGCCATTAAATTGGTTAAAAAGTAATAGCTTTACAATGTAAAATTTCATCAAAATTGTCATAATTTCATATCAATTTTATACATTCACCTTTAATGCTTTATCAGACCTTTTTCTTGTCGATTTTTCCTCGCCCTCTTTCTTGTCGGGTAATTAGGCATTATCCGCTTTGGACACATTGTGATGTGGAGAGAACTAGTTAGCTGACTGATTAGCGGAGCTGCCACAACCACTCTGACGCACATTGTTCGTTAGCGCAGTTTCCATGGTTATGGCTCTAGAAATACCCATTTCCCACCTGCCATTCAGATTCCCAATAAAAGCGATGGGTGAGCAGAGATTGCTGAACTTTTGACTATCCTTTCGCAAAAATTATGTTGGGCGGGAGTCGCTGGGGAAATAGAAAGGTCAGGACGTCATCCTGGCTTGCTACCCAAGTGCTCTTTTTAGGAGCACACAAAAAAATGCAGTCCGTAACTGAAAGCAAAAAACTGTCATAGAAAAATATTCCTGTTATTGCCACTTAAGGTTGCGAATTGATTTCAATCATTTTATTGACAATAAAACCTGATTAACTTTTACAGACCTCGAAATAAATGTAACTGATTTTGGGAAGTATTTATAATCTTAAACTAGTAACTGATCTTGAAATTAGAAAAATCCATTAAGGTTAAACTGAAGGAATCCAAGATGCAGACGGTTTTAGTCGCGAATGGTTCCGAAAATGTTGCAACATGACCTAGTTGGCCATAATTAATGCCGGTTCAGGGCTTCCAACCTGAAACCGCACTCGTGCCAGGCATCTCATCCTGTTTCATTTCCTCCTCTGCGGTTGGTCGAATCTAATGGCGTGCGAGTGTATTTGCCTAAGCGGATTAACAGCGACCAAATGTGTGTGGGTGCACTTGGAAAAATAATAGATATCTTGGGCTCTTGTAATAAAATAAAAAACGTAAGGAAATAGACTGAAATTAAATTAAAATATAATATTTAATATACTCCATGAATAAGTAGTTTAAATTTTAAATTTGATAATAACTGTTAGGAGTTTAGAAAATAAAAGAAATGTCTTAAATCTTTACTTTTATTTTAAATATTATAACTTTATAACATTCCCTGATTTAAACAGTATGATATTTATAAATTTATCTATTATTCAATTAAAAAAATAACAAGTAATATTAAAGCACTTATCACAATAGTTACTAGTCATAATTAGAGTATCTACTTCCTATTTGAAATGTAAGTAGGGGAGTGTAGGGTAATTTGACGAGTAGGGTAATGTGACGAACTCGTCGAATCTCATATATGACGTCACGACAAAAATTCCAAATAAATGTAGTCGTCTCCCCTTATCGTGTCGACAATGTATTTACAGTAATATTAACAAGAAGTCCCGTAATTTGTTCGTAAGGTAATTTTCGCTAAAAATGTGGTGCGCATACTAGCAAACCCATTCAATTTACTTGTGTTTCAGCAGTGCCAGAGCAAAGATGAGTGGAAAATAAAATCAGGCAAATATATGCACGTATACATGAGATCTTTATCAACAGTTTTTGGTACCTCGCGTTTTTTTCTTTTGCGCCGTTTGAGAGTGACACCGTTTTTGCTGCAAGTCTACCTTGTAGGGTATCGTGACGAACTTTTTGTAGGGTATTGTGACGAACTTTTTTTATTCAAGAATTTTAACTGTTATCGTTGATTATTTGTAAAAAAAATATAATAATACCAGATAACATTTACTGCTGCAGTTTTATTGTTGTTTTTAATAGTGACGTCAGTTTAATTTAATTTTAAAAAAAATTTGCACTTTGACCATTTTTTTTTTGTAAGTTTGGGTATTATCTTATTACTTTTTTTCTTTTCCGTATCGAAAATAACCTTTCCGTAAATAATATATAAAAAAATGTATTTTTTTGTTTGTAAAAAGGATGGTTTACACCAAACACTGTGGGATTTGGCTACGTTGAAATTTCGAATCCAAATTTTTTTAGAAATATGCTCAGTAAATGTAAGCAACTTTCTGCTTTTACACTTTTAAAAAATATTGATTTTTGGAGAAGTTACATTAAAGAACAAATCGTTCGTCACATTACCCTACAACTTTTGAAAGTGCAAAAAAAGTAGGGTTCACGCCAAACGCTGTGGGATTTAGCTGCATTGGAATTTCGAATTTCGAATTTTACAGGGATATGCTCAGTAGATGTAAGCAACTTTCTGCGTTTACACTTTTGAAAAATATTGATTTTTACAAAAGTTACATTCAAAAAACGAATCGTTCGTCACCTTACCCTACACTCCCCTACTTTAAAATCGAAAGGTTGTGGAATGATATGATATTTTACTCATTATATTTATAGAAATTTTACTGGTATAAATCTGGCTAATCTATTGGGGAATTACATTTTTGAAATGGATAAATTTTTGTTTTTGTAACTGAAAAAAATAGTATTTTCTATGGGGCTAGCTGACCATTTATTTCGTTTCTCTGAGTGTAAAGTGAAAGAGAGTGAGAACAACTGAAGCAGCGGTTCCTTTTCCCGCAAATCTGCAAGGTAGCCAAGCAACAAAACCTTTTACTTTCCGCAGAGAAGAAAAGCGGCGTTCCCGTAGACACAGTCGCTTGGTAATTGGGCAGAGATGAGTGGCCTGGGTCCGGCAGCCTGTTGGCTGGCCCACAAGCGCATCGAGTCCTGGTCGCGGATGGCCAAGGAGCGAGTGGGAGCGGGAGTGCGTCGCGTCACCCTCGATAGGAACTCGGCGGACGAGGGATCGCCGAGTGGGAGTGGCAGTAGCTCCACCACCGGAGGCGCTGGTGGTGGTGGCAACGGGCCGTCGGTGGTGCACATCCTGCCGATGGGCGAGGGCTCCACCACGCCACCGCCGCAACCCATGACCCCGCCGCCTTCGGCCTCGTCGGTCACCTCGACCACCAGCGGAATTGGCAGTGTTTCGGCCGGTAGTGTCAGCGATAGCTGTGATTTGCCCACGGACTCGGAGGTTCTTACATCTGGCTAATACTTATTGTCAAATTTATATTAATATAATTTATTTGTTATTTGAAAACCCCTCAGGAGGTGGCCATTGCCAAGGAATGCCAGCCCATCCAGCCGGCCAGCCAAATGCATGGAATGCACGGCGGCATGGGCTTCAACCATCATCACATGGGCACCGTTTCGGCCACTGGGACGGACATCTTGCGCGGACCCGCCGAAGTGTTCCACAGTCCGCTGCACTTGCACCACCAGAGCCGCTCCTTCCCCCCGCGCCTCCAGCGCACGCCGTCCATCTCCAGCCAGAGCAGCGTGGACAGCGCCCCATCCAGGCATTCGGTGAGTGGGATTGTCAACTATTATTTTGCATACCAACCATTATAGTTTTTAATCAAGGAAAAATTTATAATTTCTTGCTAGTATTTGTCACTGTCTAAATATATCCACAATTTTCATTTTTCTATTCTGAAATGGGGAAAACCTATTAAAAGCTATTTAAATACTTTCTTAGTCCAAAGCAATAGACTAAAATAAAATTAGAAATTTTAGAAGAGATAAACTGCTTAAATATGTTTTTAGTCAGTCCAAATTACATTTTAAAAATATTTATTGCTATAATAAATCGAAAAATTTATTATTTAGTCATTTGGAATCGAAGTCTTAAATTATGCTAATGGATATCCTTGAATGTTTTAACGATTAGGGGGAGCTTAGATATCACAAGTATTTTTGAAATCACTAATAACAAGAAAGGAAGCTAGCTTCGGCCAGCCGAAGCTTATATACCCTTGCAGATCATTCCGATTAATAAACAAATCGCAAAAATGTTCAATTTTCTAATATTTCTCATTAATTTTCCGATCGTTCCTATGGCAGCTATATGATATAGTCGTCCGATTTTGATCAAATTAAAATTGAAATTCGGAAATATTTAAAAAGAGTCATATCCTAGAGTAGAAGATAATACAATAAAAACCAAAGAAGCTAGAATTTATTTCCTATTACTTTTCCATTAATTTTCCGATCGTTCCTATGGCAGCTATATGACATAGTCGTCCGATTTTGATTAAATTAAAATTGAAATTCGGAAATATTTAAAAAAAATCATATCCTAGAGTAGAAGATAATACAATAAAAACCAAAGAAGCTAGAATTTATTTCCTTTTACTTTTCCATTAATTTTCCGATCGTTCCTATGGCAGCTATATGATATAGTAGTCCGATTTTTTAAATAATTAATTCGAAATTCAGATATATTTAAAAAATAACATCCCCAAAAGTAGAAGGTAATATTTCAAAAAACACCGAAGCTAGAATTTTTTAAAGTTTTTTTTTCCGATTGTTCCTATGGGAGCTATAAGATATAGTTGTCCAATCCGGTCGGCTCCGACATATATACTACCTGGGAAAGTTTCATCCCGATAGCTCAAAAACTGAGAGACTAGTTTGCGTAGAAACAGACAGACGGACAGACGGACGGACAGACGGACAGACGGACAGACGGACATGGCTAGATCGACTCGTCTTGTGATGCTGATCAAGAATATATATACTTTATGGGGTCGGAAACGTCTCCTTCACTGCGTTGCAAACTTCTGACTGAAATCATAATACCCTCTGCAAGGGTATAAATATCACTGAAAAAGTAACGACGTCTTTTAAAAGGAATCCATCAGGCTTTTGGTTTCAAAATATTTTGTTAAAAACTTCTATACACATTTATAAGAGATCTTAAATCCCTCGTGATGTTTAGAAAAATATAATAAAATTGAATCTCTACAAAAAAATTATAAAAATAAATAAAACTTCTAAAATGCTTTCCAGCTATTTCGGATTGCGGGTGGATTTTTAATATTCAATAATTAGTTTTGTAATGATATGATAATTTTCCCTATCTCACAGGGTCACCGTGGATCCTCGCCACAGATAAGGACTTTCGGACCGGACGGACGTAGCTCTCTGCCGAGTGAGCCGGCATTTCCGCACCACTTGGCCAGATCGCCCAGTCCCATGCGAACGATTTCTTTGGATGCACGCTGCGGCAGTCCGGCCCATTCGGCGGATCCTGGCGATCTGAGGACACCCAGTCCTTCGCAGAGCAGCTTGGCCTCGTTGGCCGGTGGCTCGGGTATGGGAGGCGGTAGCTCGGGAAAGGGCGTGGCCGGTGGTCGCTGCCTTTCGCCGCTGCTCATACCGCCACGATCGCAGCCCGGAGTGGATCCCGCCATGGGTCCTGCCTCCCCGCTGGGAGCCCTCCAGCCGGATCTCTACCGATTGCCTGACGGACCCGTTTATCTGACAGCACCCGAATCCAGTCACGCCGTGGGACGTTTGCACCTGCGCGTGAAGTACGACTATCACCTGTTCGACCTGACGGTTCATCTGATTGAAGGTGAGCTTAGGGAATAGTAAAAAATAGTATAAAATACGCTGGAATATAATATTTTATAATTTTAATAGGTTAAACAGCTTTAATTTTAACAAAGAAAATCGCATTAACAAAACGTAAACTAAAAACATAAACCATATCGTCATTCACTTGAGGAATATTGATAGTAGTTGGTTCGGACCTCTATGACATCGCCATTGCGCAGTCCCAGAAATTCCGCCGTATCGCTGCTTCCGATTCGAAGTCTGTGGGCCTTGAAGTATATGTTCCTTAGGTCAAGTTTATAATATTGGGCATACGCCTCCATTAGTTTCTGCATCGGCATAGTGGTGGAAATATGACACTCCAAAACCCTTCGCTCCAAGCAGCGCAACTTCAGGTCAATACGACGCATTTTAATAGGAATAATTCTGGCGGAAAAGTTTCTAAATTCAAACTGATGACTTGTTGAGCTATGTATGTATGTGTGCCAAGTTTTGGCTTTGTTTCATCAGGAACTTTATAAAAACTAGACTGTGAATTAACCGAACGCTAAGATATTTATAGGTACAACCAAAAAACAATCCCCGATCTTAAAACCGACTTCTCGAAATGAAAAATAAGCCAATTCGACTCCATATTAAATTTTCAAAATCAAGAAGTGTACTCCATTGGCGAGACAAAGTTAAGAGTACTTTGGTCTTGATTTTACGAGCGCTCCCACTCAAATGAATAAAAAAAAAAACTGCGATTAAGAATATATAATGTGGCCTTATTTAAGTTCCTTTTTTTCTGGGTTTAAGTATAGGGGAGAGTGGGGGAATTTCGTCAGCATTTTTTCAAAGCTATTTTTTGTCCATCTTGAGACACGTTATCATATTTCTATTTTTATTGTTGAATGCGGTTAGCACCAAGCTTTAAAATGTGACATTCCCCTATTTTTTTAATTAGCTTGGTGATTTATAAAAAAATAAAATGTAAAACCAATATACTGGGGCAATGTCACCACACAGGGGGGTAAAATCACCACACAACTGGGGAAATTTCGTCACCTGAAAAATGTAGGGAGTTTAAAGCCTGAAAATATGCTACACTGATCAAGCGTACCATTTTTGTTGACGTCCTGTACTTGTTGCTGCTGCTGGTAGTCTGTTCGTTAGCCAGCTCGTCAAATATAAAAATATGTATTTAAAATAGGTGCGAATTTACCCTTAGCGTAGGTTGGCGAAATTTCCCCAGACCGTACTTTTTTAGAAATAATTATTTTTCTTGCGAAATTAGGCGCGAAGTTAAAAATCACTGACGCAGAAATGCACATTATGGCACTGTGTATTATATAAAAAATCGTGTATCTTATTCCTTTTGAATTGTGGCATACAGAAAAAATTTCGTCGAGAACTAAATGTAGCTTTTGAACTGTTAAAACACATTTAATATTATAGCTTAATTATCTTGGCCTTCTGTGCAAAACAAATGCATTGGTTGTGTCTGGCCGTCTTGAAGGACTAAAACAAAAAAATTATATATTTTTACGACTTATGGATTCCGAGATATTGCAGGTGACGAAATTGCCCCTGTGGCGAAATTCCCCCACTCTCCCCTAATTCAAAATAAGCTAACCTTTTTTTAAACAAATCTCCTTTAATCCTTTGCTTAGAATTTTTAAAAATTACACAAAAATAACAACTTTAACCCTTCTTCTGTAGCTCACAGTCTCAGTCCCATCGAGGAGGGTGGCTTCCGGGATCCTTATGTTCGGCTGATGTTGCAACCGGAAGTCGACAGCCGGAAGCGACAGACCCACATCCATCGTGGCGAATCGAATCCCTACTTTGACCAGCACTTCAAGTTCCCGGTTTCCCGCGATCAGCTCCAAGGCAAGGAGCTGATCCTCCAGGTGCTCGACTACGATCGCTATTCGCACAACGACATTATCGGAGAGGTTCGCATCTCGGTGGATGGTCTGGATCTCTCCAAGTCTGTGGAGGTAAGTTGGTTGGGTTTTTAGAAATTAATAGGACATATTATAAAGCGAAATACTTTTCAGATCTGGGGAGACTTGCTGCGGACCAAGAAACCCAAAGAGGATCGACCGGAGCTGCTTTGCTCCTTGAACTATTTACCGCAGGCCGAGCGATTGACCGTGGTCATAATGAAGGCTAGAAATTTGGATACTCTTCAGGAACCATATGTGAAGGTGAAGAATATAAATATTACATTTGAAATATATAAAATAAATACTAAATAATCCTTTTAATTTTTTCAGATTTACCTTATTCAAAACGGCAAGCGCATCAAGAAGAAAAAGACGAGCATTACGAAGTCCGACGATCCCACCAACCCCATTTGGAATGAGGCGTTCACGTTTAATTTGCAATCAAATTATCTCCACAATGCAGCCATCGAGGTAACCTTTAGCCTTTTGGGCCATAAACCGGTGGTCTCCGCCGTTTTTAACAGCCCGGCTGCTAATTCCGGGCAATAGCCCCGGTTTAATGCCCCGGCCGTGTTTTAATTGAAATCCCCCTTCTCTCCGCCATTCTTTGGTTTATTTAATTTCTGGGTATTATATCTTTGCAGATCTATGTGGTGGGTGCTGGGAGCGAGGCCACGGAAATCGGATGCTGCGGTCTGGGGCCCCAGGAAAGTGGAACTGGCTGCCAGCACTGGCACGATATGATTAACAATGCCCGAAAGCCGACGGCCATGTGGCACTATATCCGCTAGGCACCATTATAAACTATTATTTTCCATTTTCCAACCGAAAAAAACATTCAATTGCTCCCGCATTGCGTCTATATATAGGTGTACTTCTAACGTAACCATGTGTGTGTCTGTGTGAATTTTCCAATTGCATTTTTGCCCGAAGCTTATAATGTTCTACGAAATCAAAATCTCATCTCTATATAGTATATATACATGGATGTACAATATATATATGCTGCAGCTAACTAGCCCTCCAAGAAGCTCAATCAAAAGTTCCTACACAACGACAGAAACTTCGAAGAAAAAAGCCCATGAAAATTATATATTTGTGGGTTTATTGGTTTAACGGTTCTGTTTTTCGATATTCACTTTTTTCTTTAGTTGTTGTTGTGCATTTTGTGCAACCTCTTGAGAAACACACACAATCCGGGGAAAAGGATACAATGGGAAATCGGTAATCGCACAAACCAAAAACTGTCAACCGGCAGACTTGTTGACATTTCCATCGACTTCAGCAAACACTTGAGGAGCCGCGTCGCCTTCTTTTTATACCCTTGTAGAGGGTATTATAATTTCAGTCAGATGTTTGCAACGCAGTGAAGGAGACGTTTCCGACCACATAAAGTATATATATTCTTGATCAGCACCAATAGCCGAGTCTATCTAGCCATGTCCGTCTGTCCGTCTGTCCGTCTGTCCGTCTGTCCGTCTGTCCGTCTGTCCGTCTGTCCGTTTCTATGCGAACTAGTCTCTCAGTTTTAAAGCTATCGCGATGAAACTTTCCCGAAGGTCTTCTTTCTATTGCAGGTAGTACATATGTCGGAGCCAGCCGGATCGGACCACTATATCTTAAGGCTCCCAATCAAATATAAGAAAATTCATTGTAACTTTGTAGGAAGTAGGCGTTTTGATTCTTGACTACTTAAAAACAAAATTGAAATAAATCGAAACGCTGAATCTGGAATCCCTGGAACTGCACCGAGTGAGTATTCTTTTATCTACAAGGGTATATAAGCTTCGGCTGGCCGAAGGTAGCTTCCTTTCTTGTTCTTTTTTTTTTTTTTGCAAAGAAGGCATTCAAGTGTGCATTTCTTAAATAATTATGAATACACCGCACGGGGAATAATAATAATTCGTATAGGTGAGTGGTCGTCAATCATGCAGGAAGCCCGAAGGAGTCGCCCTTTTGTGCCGGCGACAGTTGACAAATTGCCATCGCCATTCGCTGTTGTCCTTTTGCCATTCGATCCTGTGTGCGTTTGTCGTTTTCCCGTTTGACAGAAAACAGAAAAAATGAGCGAGATGTGAAGAGAACTTATGCTAATTGTTAGGTTAAATACATACAATATTCCTTCCAGCCGAGTACGTCTATCAAGGATCAAGGAACACCGAAGAGCATTTCTCGAGCACTTTAACCTATTTTATATGTACTTACAACGAGTATTCCGAATAATAATAACACGATTATGGAAAGAGGATGAGGGGTTGGCCGATTTCTTTCGCATAAATCTATGAGTGTACTTTTGGTGTTGTCGTACGAACTTAAGGGGCGTCGTCAGACCTTATAATGTGTGTAAAATATGCTATTTAATCCCAGTAAATATTGCAGAATACAACAAACTGAATGTGTGTAATTTAAACTTAAACAAAGACTTGACAAAATACATAGCACTGCACGTGTTAACTAGACAAAAAAATACATAGGTACTCTAAGGAGCCAATATATATATATACAGATATACACTATACTTATACAAGTTTTTCTAAACGAATCCTTCTACACCCTTTTGTCCCATACCAGAGGAAACACGAGACATGACATGAGAAAAATCAACCGAAACAACAGAACAACAGGATAAATGCTGAAATACCTCCGATTTGGGCAAAAACATAAAATACGCACTCGGTAGGCCACTCAACAAAATATGAAAAAACAGAAAAGCAAAGCGAAATGTACAAAAAACTGCATATACAAATATATTTCCTACAAATAGTGTTTATTTATTGTAGCCTAAAGGGAACGCTGTTGAAAACTGAAAACTAAACCCAATAATTGAGGGATAACACCACCTAAATATAATTATATACACATACAAACTACAAGACAACCTATATTCATATGAATGAAAATGTATATGTAAACTAAATGTATGTGAATTTAAATTATTCGGTAAATAAATAACTTAAAACAAACCAGTTGAATCTAGTTATGGACTTTAAGATTTAATTATCAAAAAAGCTAAAAAATAAAGGTGAAGCCCCAGATCTTCAAAAAACATTAACACCATATTTAAATTTGGCGCTCAAATCACAAAGCAGTTCAAAGAAAGCAGTTCAAATAAGTTGGCAACGCGATAGTGGTTCATGACTCGACTAAAATTAAGCAAAGACACCTCTCCACAGTAGGGGAAAACCACAAATTTAAAAAAGATTGACAGTTAAATAATAAGATTTATATTAAAAAAAAAGCCTTCATTTTTGGCCACCTCTAGATTCCTTTACAAAACCTTTGTAAAAAAAGACAGAGTTAACCCAAAGCCCCATAACTCTACCTTAGTGGGTTTTAATTTAATTTTTAAAAACGTAAGTTAAGTTTTTTTTAAAAAAAAGTCATTAACTGAGCTTACATAATTTTGCAACTTAGAACTTCAGATGTTTTCTATTTAAAAAAATACAAATTTTACGAAAAATAAAAAAGTTTTATTGATGTTGCTTTGGTATTTATTTTTATTTTTTAATACAATTTTTTTTTATAAATTATTAACTAACATTGCTTACAAATATATTAAAAACATTTACCAAGAAAAAATAATAAATTTTTCTAAAATATTTTAATGCTTCTTATTTATATTTTTGAATTTATATTTTTTAAAGCCTGCAATTGAATATAATTTCTCTTAGTGCACCTTTCAGACTTTCTCATCGCGCTCACACTGTTTCCAACCGTCGGATCTCACTCACTATTGCTGTTGCTTCGCACATGTTGGATGCGGTTCTCTGGATTTCACTCCATTTCATGCGCACTGTTAACTTTCCACTCCATTCCTGGCGCTGTTAACCCCCATACTAAAACCACTCAAACTGAAATCGGGCGCTGCAATGGTGCCTCATATATAGAGATACAGATACTATAGTTTCTTATGCCGGATCGTGCGCACGTAAAAGATGTCGCGCGTCAAGTCTTTTGATCGCGGACCAAAATAAATCAAATAAAATAAATCGAAAGTGTTGCTCTGATAACAAATATAGATGACAATCAGCTAAATTTAAATGAAATATTTATTTAATCTAAGCCCAATCCAAACCAAAGTGTGAGTGTACCGACGACGAAGCTCAGTGAACCCGGTAAACAAATCAAACGACAAGTGATTATGGGATGCATTTGGGTGCAATGTGTGTGTTTGTGCCGGAGTGTGTGTGTGCGAAGCTTTTGGGATGAATGTATGTGTGCAGGTCCTTTTGCGGCTCCTTTTTGCATCCCTTTTTGCAAAGTGGCGCTATTTTCTGTTTGATGCATATTGTTCTCCCATTGCAATCAAAACGGAGTTGAAGCCACAATCACACATGTACAGTGGAGACTCTCTACGAAAGAATATTACAAAATAAAGGAACTTTTATTTGGTAACTTAAAGGATTCCATTTTTTTTAACTGATCAAATTCAAATAGGAATTAGGAATTCTCAAAAATGTTTCTGTTAAAGTGTAGTAAAATGTTTTAAATATAAATATATTATTTAAAGATAAATATTTTGGGTTAGAAACCTATTTTCGGATTTTAAGGTAATTTTATAGTCAAAGGTGTAATCCAAAGTAGGACAAATCTACATAAATTGAACATATCGAAGTAAGACTGTGGGGCCAAAGACAAAGGCTTCTTCTTCTCCGCTCAACCTCAAGCTGCATATGAGTTAATATTTGTCTAGTTTTTGAACGTGCCGCTTTTGTCTCAGCCTTTGTGTCCCTACTCGTAGTCGTCTGACGTTGACGCTGAAGTTGACAAACCAACCAGGTCCTGGTCCACTTTGGATGCCGGCGTCTTTGAGGGGGTGGCCAAGGGGGGGCAAAGTGGCGAAGGGACATAGGGGCATCCAGCATCCACATCACAGCAAATAGCTCTACTTTCCACTCTCGCTGAAAGTGCTATCCTTTTGCAGGATAACCGGCTGTGGATGTGGGGGCGCGGGTGGGCGAGGACGACTCCCTGGCGCTGTAAAATATGCAATTAGAAAGACATCAAAGCACAGCCACCGCTCAACTCAACGCTGATAGCCCGGCACCACCCGCCGCCCACCACCCACCTCTCGCCACCCGCCACTTACTTTCCCGCCCCCTCTTAGTACCACTCCCCCTTTCTCTGTCGCTCGCTTGCTTTGGTATGCGCTTTGACACAAGCACAGACGAACACTGGAATAAATACAAGAATTTTTAAAGTTCTAAATTAAATATATTTTTTTTGGAGAAAGAAAAATATTTTCTAATATTTTTAATTAATAAAAAATATAAAAAACGTTGGATAAAAAAGATATACTATATGAAGTGTGGAAAAAACAATATAATCAAACCCTTGAAACTGAACCATTTTTAATACATATATTAAAATTCAAATTCGAATAAAAGTTCATAATTTGAAAAGAGACAATTGGATTACTTTCTGCCAATTCTATAATACTTATATGAAAGCTAATTTAAATTTACATGTTATTATTTATATAATCAACACAAAGTAAAATTTAAAATTATTTAAATTAAATAGGCTAGTAATAATTTTTTTTTATAAATTAAATATAAAAACAAGAGAGAACGCTATAGTCGGGTTGTTGTCCCGACTATCTAATACCCGTCACTCAGCTAAAGGGAGTGCGAACGCTGTGTCGGGTTGGTGTCCCGACTAATAATCGTAACTCAGCTAAAGGGAGTGCGAGGGAGATAGATATATGTTGACAATTTATAAATCGTATAACTTTTTAATGAATGGTCCGATTTGAAAATGTCTTCTACATTTCGATAGGTATAACTATACACAACAAAATTGCATTTATACTTCTCGGAAATCTTTAAAAATGTGGGCGCAGGACCCATTTTAAAATCGTTAGTGGGCGATTGTGGGCGTTAGGGGGGCGTGGCGCTCGGCTAAAATAAACTTGCGCTGCGTAGGAAGCCAAAGAATATGTGTGGGAAATCTCAACCTTCTAGCTTTTGTAGTTTCTGAGATCTCAGCGTTCATACAGACGGACAGACAGACAGACGAACAGACGGACAGACGGACAGACGGACATGGCTAGATCGACTCGGCTAGTGACCCTGATCAAGAATATATATACTTTATGGGGTCGGAAACGCTTCCTTCTAGCTGTTACATACTTTTGCACGAATCTAGTATACCCTTTTACTCTACGAGTAACGGGTATAAACAGCACAGTGTACCTTCACTTCCCCAATGAAATATTTAAGAAAATTAAAATTAGTTCGGCTTTTTTCGAGTGCAAAGTGCAAGGACACTAGGCGAAAAAAAAGAAAGGGGTGGAAAAGAAGGCTCTTGAAGTACCCAACCCGAAACGAGTCTCATCATTAGTGCGCCTTCCCCCGCCGTTTGTGTCACTTTGTCGGCCTCTGCCACTGGGCGCTTTTTGATATTATTTATTTATATTTTTCACTTTTAATAAAATGTTGTCGCCGTTGCCGGCTGCCATTCGGCATTCCGGCATTCGCCGTTCGCCATTGCCATCGCTACTTTGCCTTTGTGGAAAAAAGGAGGAGCACGCAGCGAAGAGTTTGGAAACGCTTTGCCAAACTGGCGGCCAAGCGAGGTCAATTGGCTTAATTACTGTGTGACATCGTGTGGACAAGTGGCAGTGGCGAAGGCGGAGGCGTCTCTCGAATGCCTCGACACACTCGCCACCGGGTAAACAGTCTTACATTTATTCATGTATTTTTCAACAGATAGCTCGGCTCCCTATCAATAGAGTCCCTTGTGCGGGAGACCATTAAATTTAATCGTTTTCCATTTTTTGTCTGCGTTTGTTCAATCACTATCTAGTAACGAGCATCGCAGCCCCACTGTCCATAAACATTAACACTAGGAAAAATAAAGAATAAATTATTTAAAATATTTGTAAGGTATAAATAAGTAGTATAGAAATTTTAAAGTCGTGTAAGACTGAAATAAACCTCCTAAAAAACCTTTTGGGTATTAAATAATTATATTTAATTATCTGTAAAATTTTAAAATATTTTATATATATAACCAATTTTTTTTCTGTGCAGGAAAAATCAGTTTGTACATACATAGTGTAAAGTAGTGCGTAAGCGGTGGCTTATCGAGCGGATGCCAATTGGCCATGTAGATGAACCCAGTGAGACTTTTGACTTGTGACACATCCATTTCCTTTGGCCGCAACGACTTATCGTAGTGCACAAAATGCACTCGACATAATCGGAATTTAAAATACAAACAAACAAGTGAATAAGTTTAAAAAAAAAACCCAGTCAAAACAACGATAAAAATGCGCCTGAGTGGCTGGGAAATTGTGTTGCTCCTGCTGCCTTTTGGCCTAATCAGTGCCGTGCGACAGTTGGAGGAGAATCAGAGCACCAAGAACGATCACCTGCATTCCGCAGAACGACAGGTGCGTCGTCGCAACAATAAAAGCAATGCCTCCGCGGACCATCAACGTCATGCGGCATCTGGTGGATCCAAGAAAAATAGTAGAAGTCAGTCCGTGGGACTGGATTCGGATGACTACGATTGGCTGGATGCCGATACCAGTGAGGCCATCGATAGCTCCGAAATTACTGCTTTGGAATCCGTGAGATCATCCGGAGAACCACATGGTAAGTTGATAAGGAAGATGGGCCCTTTGACCTTTTATTGGCACTTCAAAAGCAGCCGCTTATCAGTGGAATTTCTGACACTTCGAGTGACAAATGGCTTAGGGATTAAATAGGTTATTCGAAGCATTAAAAATTTGTAATTTTACTAAAACAAATTATAAAATATTTTATTTTCTAAATATTATGTAGGTAATTACTTCTGTGTATCAACACATATATTTTTCTTTGATTAGGTCGAAAGTAAAAAAAATCTATGATGATGTTATGTAGAGAGTACCTAACTACCTTTTAAAGTGAATAATATTGCAATACAAATTGGAAACTTTTTGGTGCGAGTAATTGGAAGCAAACAAATGTATGTATATCCCATTTATTCCATGTTTTTTCAAGTTTTTTGCTATTTTGAAAAACTGGTTCATTCATTTATGCCAGTGTTGTCACTTTCATTCGCTTCCCTCTGGCCCGCATTTTTAGGGCTGGTCAGTTTGGCTATGGGATAAATAGGAAACCGGGGAATATAAAAACTTTTTACAGCCCCTCCCACTTTGATTTGCATGTAAATGGAACCACACTTCGGTCCACACTCGCGCTTCCACTCACTTAATCAAAAGCAATAATTTCCTTTTTGAGCGCGAGCGAAATGTTTTAATTGAAAGTGCTGTTGATGATGACGATTGCCGCTGTTTACAGATACAGATACGAGTATATCTGAATCCAAGTGAGTGCGTGTTTGTGCTCGAATCTAAATTGAAACTGTGTTAAAAATTAGTTTAAATTGCTGCAAAGCTGGCTTGTCTGATGGCGCCAGCATATGAGAATCCAAGATACACTTCAGATTCGATCCCCTCTTCCTCTTCTTTTTTTCCACTGTCCGTTTTATTAACTCGCAGCTCGAGTGAATTATGGCTTGGGGATGGGGTGTCAGTGTATGATAAATGTGTTAGATTTCCAATGAAATTTTATGGCCTGCTCATATATGTCGCCGCCTTGGAGCTTAACTGATTGTATTGTCGCTCTTTTCGCAAAGGGAAATTCTTCGGCTTGGCTTGGCGTGGCGTTGTGCATCCGAAATGATTTGAATTGCGCGGCATTTGAAGTGTTTTGCATACAAATGGCCACCGTTGATTACTATATGCATACTTCTGAATGCGCTGCGGTCGTAAAAAAGCTATTAAACAATCATTTTCACTGCACTCACGTTAATCAAACGGGTGGTCGGATGTGTCCACTCCTTTTGATGGCGGCTATCTCGGCAAAAGCCGGAGAACTTGGCGACAAATCAGCTGTGACACTTGACATGCGGCAGCGAATCAGAGACTGCCAGTGAGTGGATTTCTTTATTTTTAGAAGACACCCCAGTCCACAGCTCCAATGGGGACAGGAAAAATATAATACACAGAGAAATGTTATAAAATAATCAGTAGATATTTTAAAGGCTTGAGAAAAATCCAGAAAAAGTCAAAGAGAAAATTTGAAAACAATATTTTATTATTTTTATTTTTTTATTACAACTAAAAAAATACATTTTTAATAATTAGCAAACTTTACAAGTAATTTTTCAACAATAAACAATAAAAGTTAATTTTTTAGGGGTTTTAATTATTATTTTTTAAATAATTAAAATATTATTTTCGGTGTGGTGCGTTGACAGGCAGCTTAGATCATTGGCCACAAGTAAAAAAGAAGCATCGGAAGCAGAAGACTGCGCAACTTTGCAACTAAAACTGAAACGAAGATACGTAATAAAAATAGCACTCAACGACACACTAGACGCAGAGTAGCGAGCACAAATGAAAACATTAACAGTTTTAAAAATAAATGCCAAATAAAAACTGAATCACAATCGGAGGAATATCAAATGGGGGTAAAAGACAACGCCTGGCAAATCAAAAAGGCATTTTCCAAGCGATTTGTCACCGTTTCGCATCTGCACATTTGATTCCCCAAATCAATGTTCATAGGCCGCGGCCAAATTTATTTCGGTGGACTTCAAAGTAAATTTCCGCTAAAATTAGTCACTCAACCCGACTGTCCGGACTCGCTTGGCCGAAATGAAATGGCTGGGCCAAAAATACGTGAGTTTCCGAACCAGAAACGGGGAAAATCTTAGCAGTTTTCACTTATCCCCCGCCCACAGTGGGCTGCCCTCCTTCGGCAATTGCACACTTAATTAATGGGCACTGCTTTTGATCTTCTCTGAAGTTCAGTAGCCCCCCAATTCCTGCCGCAAGTGACAAAAACTGAAATTTTTCACGCACTCAGCGAAACTCTTTGAACCCGCCCTTTACGCCCAGCCAACTGTCACACGTCCAAGTCCGCGGATCCGGAGTCCCGAGTCCGGAGATCGGGGACATGTGTCGCAGATGTCAGACATGGGAATCGCTTCCAACTAGTGATGCGTAGTGTGAAGAGATCACAGGGAAAATATCCAGTTGTTAGGGATCTCGGGATCTCTCAAGCATTCGTGTCACGACTTCAATGTAACTCATTTATATTCATCTGGTTGGGATAAGCTGATCATATCTGGTTGTTCAATCTGTAAAGCAATCAGAATGATGTCAATTATAGGTAGGTGCGACCAGTTGTTACAATCGATATTCAAGATCTTATACTAGAAAGTAATAGGATTGCGTTTTGATTTTAGTTTTTTAATCTAATAATCTTGGATATTACAGAAAAAGTTAAATATACTTAAATTTTTAATCTCCCAATAAGTGCAAGAAAACTTTTTAAATCATTTTTTCAATGTTAAGATGACATTTTTGGCATTCGTTTGATTTCTAAACCTCTTTTAAAAAGCAAGATATTTTTACAAAAATATTCTGTATTGAAACAAGTTAAAATAATTCAAGTTAAATAATAGCAATAAAATAGATGGATGGCAACAGCATAAATTAGTAAACTTTTTTATCAATTAAAATTTGGGTAAGCTTATTTTTTTAATCATTAATAACTTGTTAAATTACTTTGTTGCTATCCATAATATCACGCTGTCATCTCAAATCCCAAAGCCCCACATCCAGCATGTTCCCCCATTTCTTTTCACAAGAAGAGTTCAACACCCAATGAGCAATCTTCCAAATGAACCGCAGCCAAAAAGAAAAGGGGGAAATAATAAAAAAGAAATACTAGCGGTAAGTGCTTAATAAGTAATCAGTCACCCGGCGTACTCGTAGATAAGCAGGATACCATTCCAGCCACCTAATTAGTGCGAAAAGTGAAACCCCGCCCCCTTAAAGACGCTGTGTGATTTGTGCCAGAGGAAGTGGATCTTGCAACTGATTCAGACCAACATGTGGCGATCATGATCATGATCATGACCACGATCGGGAATAGGGAATCTGACTGCGACCCGCTCCTTTAACGATCCTCTGGCAGATATCTCGCTGTTTCCCGTGGCATTTATTTAAATTTTAATTTACTGAGTGGTGTCAAAATGCGTGAGCCAAGCCATTAAACCCTGATATGCTGCACTTTGCCAACTTAACTTCTTGTTTTCCTGCGAGCAACATGCTTATTTTCTGTTTGTTTGCTTCTCTTGCAGATATCTTCACATGTTGCAATCAGGTCTTCGGCTCATGTCGCACAGCATGCGAAAATGTAAGTATTGCGGATCGGGGATAAAAAGGGGCTTAGTGGGTAGGATTGATCATATATCAAAAATGCGTATGAATGGATGAGTGCTTGCAACGGGCGGTACAGCCAGGGGCACAAGTTTGATGGCACTAAAGTTAATTTTAAAGCTGGTTTTCAGTCGTTAAAGTTAAGTGAATTAATAAATCAATTGACTAAGAAAATAAATATCCAGAAAGAATATTTTCTTAAAAAACAATAAAAGATAAAGAAAATAATGTTTGATGTCGGAAATCGAATACTTTGATACAAGCAATAATAATATTAATTTCTTATCTAAAATAGATATACAAATTTTGCATAAATTTTCCAACCGAATATTTTCACTCATAACTATTCAAGCCAAATGCGATGAACAAGGCGCCTAGGCCACAGTCAAAACCAACTCGAAGGGAAATGATGTGTCTGTCATAAATATTAAACGCCATCCAAAGGCAACTAGCCATAAGTATGAAAGTTAATTTTAAAGCTGGTTTTCAGTCGTTAAAGTTAAGTGAATTAATAAATCAATTGACTAAGAAAATAAATATCCAGAAAGAATATTTTCTTAAAAAACAATAAAAGATAAAGAAAATAATGTTTGATGTCGGAAATCGAATACTTTGATACAAGCAATAATAATATTAATTTCTTATCTAAAATAGATATACAAATTTTGCATAAATTTTCCAACCGAATATTTTCACTCATAACTATTCAAGCCAAATGCGATGAACAAGGCGCCTAGGCCACAGTCAAAACCAACTCGAAGGGAAATGATGTGTCTGTCATAAATATTAAACGCCATCCAAAGGCAACTAGCCATAAGTATGAACACCTTGGACAGCAGATCAGATACAGATTGAACAAGCCGATAAGGTGGAAAAACTACTGATCAAGCCACACAGTGCATTTCCTGGTATTTTTATGTGCCCATGAATCCTCTTTCCCTCCTTATGAATGGTATGTGCGAGCGGTGCATACTAAGCATTACGAATTTAGAATTCAATAAACGTTGATCCCGTCAGACTGTCACACGCAGAAAATCCATTGAAAATTATTATGACAGGTTTTAATGGTCGTTGGATTTCGGTAGAACTTTGAATACCATATCCACATCCGCTGGCTGCCGATTGCAGCAGATTGTATTGAGCCTTGTGCCAAAAAGGATTGAAAAATCCGCACAAATTGCATTGTTAATTAGCATAAGCTGGCAAACAGGTAATTGCACCTCAAAGACCGAACCCAGACAAAAAGCCCAGACTCCTACAGAGAAAAAAATCGATAGAGTATATGAAATATATTATTACTATTTTATTTATGACAAGAAAGATTTAAGATTTAAGATTTTCAACTATATCAGGGGCTAGTAAATATTCTAAATGTAATACTCTGCAGTATAAATGTAACATAATGATAATTAACTATTAAAATATATATTTACTTTGTTAGTGATATTTTTTCCTTGTGCAAATTGTGAGCCAGACCAACCAGTTTGCCACTCAAAGTCATTCATAAAACCCAAGCCGGCTGAAAATCAATTTGTTGTCTCTGAGAGTGAGTGTGTCGTGTGTGCAGTTGTCGGTAGTTTGTAGTCTGTAGTCCATAGTCTGCTCCTAGGCCCGATTTAGTTAGAGGCAATGCCGGCAATCAAATCACTGACATCATTTAACTTTGTAATCATAACCATTTTCCACCCAAAACCAATTAGTTTTCCCAGCCGAAAGTGGGCTGGGGCTTTGTTTTGCCAATCTTTTCATTTAGAAATGCAAATGAAGGCATTAAATCTTTTGGCCAAATTGAAACTGACAAACAGGATAATGCCAACCGGTTCGGTTCCCATGGGCGTATCCCCAAATCCACTTTTGAATTGCTTTTCTCTCTCATTCAGGCGAAAGATTAGAGAGCTAGATCTTACAAGTGGGTGTCGGGAAATATGAGACCCCTTGATATCCGACTCCCCACTCACAAATTGTTCTATCTTCGATCCCCTGAATGTGTGAAAAGTCGAACCCGAGACGATAGATCCTAACCGAGATAATTGAAAATTTACGCGCATTTTATTATTGACAAAATGCTCTTTTGTGGCATGAGGTCTGATAATTGCAAAAGGCCCAGTCTGTGGGCCTCTATCTGATGGGATTTTGTGGTGCCAAGGTGGGCAGGTTGTCCCCGCGGAGGAGGCGGTTCCGGTGGGATGCCATGTAGTTATCCCAGTGAGTGGGAGTGCGTGACATGGCCACGGACACTTCATTAACAAAACTGCAACAGACACGCTAGAGGCCCGGTCTTCGAAGAGGGGAAACAACCCAGGAACACACATGGATAAAGTGCGTATCAACCAGGGGCGTAGTCGATGAAAGGTACCATTCAATTTAAAATAAACATGTGATTAAATCGAAGGAAGGCTTTAATTATTTCATTATAATTATGCCACCCGAAAAAAGTGGAGTTTTTTTAATGATCGTTTAATATAATTACTATTTGAGTTTATTTTATTTTTAAAAATTTGTGGTATTTACTTTATAATAATATTGTTCTAAGTTACCCTACCATTTTCCAAAGACAATAATATTCCCCTACCATACATAATACTCTTCCAAAATAAGATCCCCTTTAATCCCACACCATCTCCACCTCAGTTTATGTTAATTTGTATTTATGGGAATGCCACCAGGCTCAAGATCCAGACAAGTTCCGAGGACAAGCACACGAAGTATCTTGAATAGACATCGCTTTACTCAGATTACTGTGGCAGATACGTGAGTCTCAGACTGGAATGAGCCTGAAAATTTGTTATTGAAGTTCCTTGGGCCTGTTCGTTATCGATAGAAAACGAGAGAGAGCAGCAAATGTTATTTATGATGGTGTCGGGAGGAGAACAGCATTCAGAAATGTAACATAATACGCCAAAAAAAAGATCAAGAGCAGGATAAAACTGCAACCTGCATGTTTTGAACCCTGTCTCCAAACTCAATCCCGATACTTATTATAACCCCATGCACTTAAAAAAGATGAGTTCAAGCTCGCCAAGGTGTACTTCCAAAAAATGTTATACACAAAAAAAAAGCATGATAAGCCCATGAAAATTTCATGTCATGCTAAACCCACATCGTTTTTACATGAAATACCCTTTTCGACCAGGTCAAATTTACTTGGATTCATATCAAATTTAAATTGATCTTAAATAATGTAGAATCGACCTACTTTCATATCGATTTTTTTTTTGAGTGTAGAAGAAGAAAATGATCAAAAATATTAGGTTATTTTGGGAGTAAAAACTTAATTAGATTATTTTTAAACTCATTTCCCATTTCTTTTTCGTTTATCTTTGAATACGTTTTTTTAAAGTAAAATTAAAAATTTTTCCTGAGTGTTAAGATTGTGAGACTGCGCACAGAGCACTTGAAGACCAACAGGTTGCGGTTCATAATCGGGTTAAGCGCTTGTTCGATGATTAAGTTTGATTGCGATTAATAACTTGTTGTCTATTGCAATTTATGCATTTGTTTTCCAGTTATCTCTGGTAGAGTTTGCCACTGGCGCTGGCGGCGATAATCGCGAGGAACTGCGCAAGTATTGTCAACTGCACCAAGTGGAATTCTGGACCTGCGTGAACCAGACTTTCGATGGTGAGTGGGGGAAATGCAAGCCGTAAAATCCATTAAATAATATGGAATCTTATTTACAGCGGTCACCCGTGGAGCGGACTGGTCGGGCAGACGTTGCTGCCAATTTGGCGTTCTGCCCCACTGCCGCAATGTCTGCGCCACCTCGAATCGTTCACCTGTGCAAAACTGCAGGCGGAGCGACGAGCAAATGCTGTACGACTGCCTGGAGCGCCAGGAGGCCGCCGATCAGTGCTGCGGACAGGCCCGCACCTCCGAGTGTCTGGAGGTAAGTGGAACCATAACCCAATTAAATCTGAGTTTAAAAAGTAATCTCAAAACAAGAAAGGAAGCTAGCTTCGGCCAGCCGAAGCTTATATACCCTTGCAGATCATTCCTATTAATTAACAAATCGCAAAAATGTTCAATTTTCTAATATTTCTCATTAATTTTCCGATCGTTCCTATGGCAGCTATATGATATAGTCGTCCGATTTTGATCAAATTAAAATTGAAATTCGAAAATATTTAAAAAGAGTCATATCCTAGAGTAGAAGATAATACAATAAAAACCAAAGAAGCTAGAATTTATTTCCTATTACTTTTCCATTAATTTTCCGATCGTTCCTATGGCAGCTATATGATATAGTCGTCCGATTTTGATTAAATTAAAATTGAAATTCGGAAATATTTAAAAAGTGTCATATCCTAGAGTAGAAGATAATACAATAAAATCCAAAGAAGCTAGAATTTATTTCCTATTACTTTTCCATTAATTTTCCGATCGTTCCTATGGCAGCTATATGATATAGTCGTCCGATTTTGATCAAATTAAAATTGAAATTCGAAAATATTTAAAAAGAGTCATATCCTAGAGTAGAAGATAATACAATAAAAACCAAAGAAGCTAGAATTTATTTCCTATTACTTTTCCATTAATTTTCCGATCGTTCCTATGGCAGCTATATGATATAGTCGTCCGATTTTGATTAAATTAAAATTGAAATTCGGAAATATTTAAAAAGTGTCATATCCTAGAGTAGAAGATAATACAATAAAATCCAAAGAAGCTAGAATTTATTTCCTATTACTTTTCCATTAATTTTCCGATCGTTCCTATGGCAGCTATATGATATAGTAGTCCGATTTTTTAAATAATTAATTCGAAATTCAGATATATTTAAAAAATAACATCCCCAAAAGTAGAAGGTAATATTTCAAAAAACACCGAAGCTAGAATTTTTTAAAGTTTTTTTTTCCTATTGTTCCTATGGGAGCTATAAGATATAGTTGTCCGATCCGGTCGGCTCCGACATATATACTACCTGCAATAGAAAGAAGACTTTTGGGAAAGTTTCATCCTGATAGCTCAAAAACTGAGAGACTAGTTTGCGTAGAAACAGACAGACGGACAGACGGACAGACGGACCGACGGACAGACGGACAGACGGACGGACAGACGGACAGACGGACAGACGGACAGACGGACATGGCTAGATCGACTCGTCTTGTGATGCTGATCAAGAATATATATACTTTATGGGGTCGGAAACGTCTCCTTCACTGAGTTGCAAACTTCTGACTGAAATCATATTACCCTCTGCAAGGGTATAAAAATTACTTAGTTAAATAAAACACCTATAGATTTTATAAGGATTTATTAAATCCTAATTTTATATGATTTTTGATATTTCACTGTTTTTAATATGCAATTAAAAAAGTTTCAATAGAAACTATATTGACACTTTTTTTATTTTTGTATTTACCTACCTACCATTAGTGTATTATTTTTTTGATCATGACTTTTGTGGTAATTACAAATTGTTAAATAGATAAGCAAACTTGTTATCTCTATTTTTATACTAATTAGCTATTGTTCGTGAATTATTGCACTCTTTTCCATGATATACTTATTTGGAACAGAAATATTATGGATAGCAAACATTTAATATTTAATGTAGAAATTAGGAAAATTTAAACGATCGTTTTCTCGTTCGAATGTTTTCAAGATTTAAAGCCCATTTTAAATAATACATTCGGGCTTTATTGTTTTATAACTGCGATAAATACGATAAATTATAAAAATGTATTTACAAGTTATGAACGATATAAATGATGTACAAATAATTAAACATTGTAGTTCTTTAAATTGGCTTAACACTTAAAAATATGTTTTTTTTTTAACTTTTCCTGAAGTCCAGAACAGAATTTAGATTCTTAAGTTTAGAGTGAGTGTTTGTTGATTTTGAAAATTACTGCAAAATAGGTCGTATTATTAATATTATTCTAAATTTTTGATCAGATGGTAATTACATTTTTTACAGGCCTGTCGAGCCGTTTTCGAGCCCGCAAATGATAACCATGATCATGTTGACATTAATGGATCCTGCGGGGATCGCAACGCGGATGTGATTCAGTGCATAAACAACCACACGGACATGACTCCGCTGGCAAATGCCGAGCAGTGTAAGGGTTTTAAGTCTTAAAAATTGAAAATAATAGTTATAATCTTTAAAAAATAATTAAATAATTCCCCATAGATATTCCCTGTTGTGAGTATAGCAATAAGGAGCATTGTCGTCACACTTGTAGAAACCTCCTACACCAAAATGCCACCCTCATGGAACGAAGTGAGGTGATCTTCTCGCGATTGGAGGCAGCTGGATGTGGTTCCCCTTTGCCGCAACTTCCCTTCTGGCAGTGTTTCCTCACGGTGACGGGGAAACTTTATGTGCCGGGAGGATCGGGAAGAGCTGGGGGTTCCGTAGGTTCCCAAGGACGCGTTTCGGGCAAGGGAGGTGGATCCCTGGGGGAAGCCAATCACCTGGGAATGGATGCGGCCAAAAGACAGTGCTGCGAGCAAGCCGGCAGTCACAAGTGCCGGCGACTGTGCAACCAGATCTTCACCAGCAATTGGTGGGAGGCGCGATCCAGTTTCGAGAACGAGTGCATGGATCAGCCAGGGGAACGGGAGCTGCGACGGTGTATAGAGAGTGTGGACGCACCCTGTGAACTGGGCTGTGAGGGTCTGAGCTTTTGCTCCAACTTCAACCATCGACCCACGGAACTCTTTCGCAGCTGTACGACCGATCACGATGCCGCTGCTCGCGAGGATTTGCAGCTGCTGCAGCAGCGGGGAACCGTTCGAGTCCTGGGACAGGAGCTCTTCATCAAGAACACCAGTCGATGTGCCCCGGAAAAGTGGCAGGCCCTCGTCTGTGCCCTCCAACTGAAGCCCTGCACTCGGGTGGGTCTTTTCAATGGCATCTGCAGTGAGGATTGCCATGAGCTCTTGGATGAGTGTCTGGATTGGACACTGCAGAGCCAGCGACCGAAGGATATATGTTCCAGGTTGAAGGAAAAAGATGAAGATGATCCGCTGCCCTGTATTTCCCTGGAGAGCTATCTAAAACCAGGAGAAGCCACTCCGGAGGAGTCCCAGGGAATTACTTTACCCTGCGCCAAGAAGCCCTGTAATAACAGCGAGGTTTGCATGCTGCAGCGCGGCGGAAATCAAGGATACTCCTGCATACCCGGCTGCAATTTGGGACAGGACTCCAAGCTGTTTGTCCCATTCGGATCGTATGTGCGACTGGGAAAGAGCACGCTGCACAAGAAAAGCGAGGTGGGTCAACTGCCGCTGGCCGAGCACATAGTCTGCTCCTGCGGATTGGAGGGTCGCCTGGAGCAGTGTCAACCGTTGCCCAGTTATATGCATGCCCACTGCAGTCTTCCTGGAGGTAGGAGCTACCGCCATGGATCCTCCTTCTACCTGGAGTGCAACCTGTGCAGCTGCTTCGCCGGCGAGATTACCTGCACCAAACAGCAGTGTCGTCTGCCGGGATTCGCCGACTCCGGCTTCACCAGCCTGCCCTGCAATTGTCCAGCCCATTACGTTCCCGTTTGCGGCTCCAACGGGAATACTTATCCCTCGGCCTGCGTGGCCAAGTGTCATCTGCCGGAGGGGGACTACGTCTATGGGGCCTGCAATGCCCGGAATGCCTGCCAGGCAGCCCCTCCGAATAGCTGTCCACCCGGAACTCAGTGCCTGGACAGCAGGAAGGTATGCCTGGCCAGCATGCAGAAGCCGTGTCTGCAATATGTGTGTGGTAAGTTATAGGACTTAGCTACATATGGGCGGTTCTTTTACAAACCAAACACCTTTTATTGGGTCACATTTTTGATTTGCCTGAAACTTTTTTTACACGTACTATTCGGAATATACGTAAGCAAGTGTATCAGGATTTCACCCAAAAAAAAATTTTTTTTTAGAATTTTTTTAGCCGAAAATTGTCAAATTTGAAAAAGTACCCTCTCATTGAAAATCTGTATCTCCGGTTATATAAATCCGATTTACTTCATGTCTTTTGCATAAATTCCTCTAAGATCTATTCTTTCAAAATACAATTTCTAAAAAAAATAAGTTTTTAATTTCTTAAAATTAAAAACAAATTAAGATAAAAAAAAAACTTTACTATTGCCTTAACAAACAAATTTTTTGTTTATATTTTAATATATGCTCCATATTGTAAGTTACAATCGGTTTTTGTAAAAAGTTAAAGCCATTTTTTGTATTTTAAATATCAATTTTTTTTTAACAAGGCCTTGGCTTTTTCCTATGAAAAAACGTCGCAGCAAGTAGGGCTACTCTCTCACTCTTATCGGATCCTTATGGAAGATCCTTATTGGCGTCAAAGAAAATTAAATAATTTTATAATTTTATACTTATTAAAAATTAATTCCTATATTTTATAATAATTAATTAACCATCCTAATTAAGCTACCTAAATAACTGAATACTAACATTATTCTTTCATCATTGCAGTGAACGCCACCGCTTCGAACTGTTCGTCCTTCCACCAGGGTGAGGTATGCGATACCCAAGGACGCACTCATGCCAATGCCTGTGACTTGCTGAGAGCCAATCCCCAAGGACAAGTGGCCTACTGGTCGGCCTGTCAATCGAATCGTTACTCGCCCTCACCGTCGCCAGTCTGTGGAGTCAATGGAGTGACCTACAAGAGTAGCTATGCGGCCAGATCGGAATACGTGCTGGTGGATTATGTGGGTCGGTGTCGGGAGGTGGGTCTGCTGGCCAGCGATATGGGAAGACGGTGTCGCACTGTCAGGTGTCCAGCACCCGTTTCCAAACACTGTCGTCAGATAGTCCCCCCGGGAGCCTGTTGTCCACTGTGCGCCGGCGGCGCCTTCAGGATCATGTACTCCAGGAAGCAGTTCGATCGCGCTATGTATGGATTGCGGGCCCAGAGCAGCACACTTTTGACCCTCCATGGAGTGCTGCAACAACTGGATGGACTGGTGAAGGTCAGCGAATGCCAGCTGACCGGATTCCTTACCATGGAAGTGGGTATTTTTGTGGCTATAGTGCCAGCCAGCAGCATCAAAAGACCAACGCGCCTTCAATTGGAGGCCTGTGCCCGTGAAGCCGAAAAGATTTCATCCCTGATCAACGCCCAGTCACCCAGGATTACAACCAACCTAGCCTTGTCCTGTTTGACTGTCTCGCATCTACTAGAACCCACGCCAAATGGAGCAACATCTTATGGTTCCCACACCATTTGGATACTCCCCCTACTTCTGTTAGTTCTTAGGTTAATCATAGTTTAAGTTATACTTAGGAGGAGTGTATATGATCTGACTCAATCAAGTGAATTCTTGGTGCCAATTAATCTGTTAGTCTAAGGAGATGGAAAGTGCCTTCACCGCTAGGAATTGACCCTCTATACCATGTGATATTAGCTAAATTAATCGTTAAGCTGTAAGTGGCTTATATTACATATTCTTAGTTTATGCCAGGGATCGTAAGTTTTAGATTCGTTTAATTGTTAACCAAAGTCAACCTACTTTAAGGCTTTTTAAACCTACTAATTTTCTTAAATCGGAAATATAAATATTATATTAATCAAATGGTACAAAGATATTAATTGGACCAAAACCATTTTCTGTTACCATAAGGAAATATACGTAAATTACTCTGTAATAAAATCAATTTTTGCGATCCCTGGCTAGTGTTCGTTAATGACCAAAGCATCGTCCATCTAGGAGTATCGCTAGTCTAATAAAATACCCCAAAATAAAACATAAACTTGAGTTGAAGCGTGGCTTCCTTTATTGAACCACTCCAAGTAGATCCAGCCAAAGCTCTAAGATAATAAATGTACGAAAAGGTAGAAAAGGGAATCACTTTAAGAAGTCTCCATTGGCACCACCTGGACGCGTTCGGTGATGAGCAGATCCTTGACGGTGGTGTGCAGCACGGATGAGGTTCCCTTCTTGAAGCGGTAGTCCAACTGGCGTTCGCCCTTCTTGTTGGCCAGCTCGTAGTTGCGCAGATACTCGACGCTGCCCTTGCGGATCACACACAAATCGACATTGGACCCTGAGCCCAGATCGTTGAAAATTCCAGAGGCGATGGCATCGCGTACCAGCTTCTTGCCTTCCTCCTCGGACATGTCGGGCTTCCAGCGACTCTCGAACACGGTCATGGCGGCCAGGGAACCCGAACCCATGGTGGCATATGGCAATTTATCCGAGCTGCCGTGTGGGTGAATGGAGTAGATGTGTGGTCCGGTCTTATCCACTCCACCGAGCACCAAGGCGGCACTGATGTGACCCTGGTAGCGGAAGAGCATCTGCTTCAGCATCGTGTTGGCGGCCACCACACGCACCTCGCGCTCAGTTTGCAGGCGATGCAGCTCCAGCTGGGAGGAGATCAGATCCGTGGTCATCTCGGTGTCCGCAGCAGTTCCAGCTCCACAGCAGCTGGAGAGAGAAGATTTTTAATAAGTATGTAATAAGAATTGAAACATTCAAAGGAAATGTACAAAGGGGATTCACAATTAAAAAAAAAAGATTACAGAAATAAGGTCGCCTGACGTTATTAAATTAAGTATACGAGTAAAGCCTGTCGAGAATATTCAGGAAGATATCGGATCGGATAAAAGAAAGAGCTCATATTTAATTGGAATTGAAACTTTCAAAGGAAATGTACAAAAGGGATTCACAATTTTCAAAAAAATAAAAGATTACAAAGATAAGGTCACCTGACGTTATTAAATTAAAGGCCGTTTTGCTCGTCCGCTTGTTAAATTTAAAGTGGGGTTAAAACCTTGAAATCGTATGGGAAATCAGAGTTTAAAGTTTCCTTTAATTTAAAAGTAATTTATAAGTATTTTTTGTACTTGTAGCGTGAGGAAGAAATAAAACCAAAAAACAAATCTCTTAGATGGATAATTGGTTTGACTATTCTTATCATATGGAAACCAATAAGGAGCAGTAACAAATGCATCTCATTTGTAATAGGGTATATGATTAGTGAAATCAGATCACATATTTATCATCTGTGTACTCACTATATGTTCTTGGCCAGGTAATGGATCTTGGCGCAGTTCTTGTCCGAGACGATGGGTCCCTCGGTGGCACGCGTATCGGCGCCCAGGATAACGCCATCCTTGAAGATAATGCCAACGATGGTGGTGCCGGTTTTGGTGGTGGTCGGTGGCTTGAAGCCCCCCTTCAAGAGAGTCGCATTGCTAAAAGCAAATAATGGCAAGTTGTTAAAAGCCGCTCGAGGATTTCTGGAGAACCAGGAAGGAGTCTTACCGCTTGCAGTTATCGAAATTGAAGCCAGGACGTGGCAGATCGCGTGCATTATCCAAATCCATTGTTTGTTCTCTTTATTTCCACTAAATTCACGAGAATAACTTAAGTTTTATTTCTGCCGAGCGGAATGACAAACAAAATTGTTGAAGGCGTGATAGAGCTGGGACTAACATCGATAGTATCGATTGGTTTGTGGGCCAGTCACCATCGATTATTCACGGCAGTCGCGATAGTATCGACTGAAAAAGGTTTCATTTTAATTACATTTATTATTCTAGTTTGATTATTATTTTCTTTGAGTGGCTTTTCTATCTAAAAATAAAATTATTATTTTAATTGGAATATGAATTTCAATAATTATTCTTCGTATGCAACAGGTGTTTCAGAAAGCCCCATACGAAAATATCGATACTTTGATTTTGTTTTGCCAGCCCTAGTTTCGTCTTTGTATATCGCATCCCTGGAACGTATTTTGGTAATTTACCATGTCTGCGGCCACAAAATTACATAAAACGAGCTGGTGCGCCCTGCGGCAGCTGCAACAGTACAGAACTAAGGGTAAGTATAACTAATTAAGAGCCCTTTTATTGACCAAAGATCGAAGAAACCGTTTACATAATGCCGGTTGTCATTCATGTTCAGCGGAGCTCCAGTGCCAGAGATGTCATGTTCGGCGGTGTCTCGGCAAAAAAATAGCTAGATTTGGATATCGATCTGGATATTTTTTGGATATAATATTCAAGTTTCAAAAAAAAAAATTTGAAATACATTTTAGTATCACAACTAACTTAAAATCTTCTATTACAGCCAGCTTCAGCCCCAGTTCAGCTTCGTTGGCCAAGCGAAACGATCTCTTTAACCAGGAGCAGCGTCGTCAACGGGATGCAGTGGGCCGCATCGATAAGATCGAGGTGCGCTATCTGGGACTTCCCGAAGATGTCACCCTGGTGATGAACAGCCACATCTCCACGCCCTTCAATTGCGCCCAGCACCTGAGTGAGGGACACTGCAAGCGATCGGCACTGGCCCTGATCGACGGCAGTGTACCCTGGGATATGCACAGACCCCTGCAGGAGTCCTGCACCCTGCAGCTGCTCAATTTCCATGTCTCCGAGCCGCACGTGGTTAACAAGTGGGTGTGCGACTGTGTTTACTATATGAATTGTTCTAATTTGAGTTCCTTTCTTGCAGAGCCTTCTGGCGCACTTGCAGCTTTATGCTGGGAGCCGCCTTGAACCGGGCCTTTAAACCGGAGGCCAATCTTCAGCTGCACAGCTTCCCAGGACCCAACAGTAAGTTAAAACATTCATCCATTAACTAGATATAAACCAGAAAAATGGAAAGGTAAATAAATATTCCAATATCCTTGCCAAAAGTAATTATTAATTAATTTTCAATTTAATTAATTTAATTTCAAACAAATATCGGAATAAAATATCCATTAACTGGATATAAACCAGAAAAAATTAAAAGTATAGAAATATTCCAAATCCCTATCAAAAATAATTTTATTGAACTAGTTATATTAAATTTAATTGCATAAATTCTATAAGTTTAATAATCAGATTAGGGAAACTAAGATTAAATCGAAATTCATTTAATTTCAAACAAATATCAGATTAAAACAAAAAAAGGAAAAAAAAAACGATTTATTTATTTTCAAATATATTTCCTAATTACATTTTTATTTATCTTTTTCCCTTCCAGTCAAATCGGGCAGCTTTGTGCACGACATTGTGCTGCAGACCAAGGACTGGCAGCCCTCGAAGGAGGAGATGCGCGCTATCTCGGCAGAGATGGTCAAATTAGCTGCACAGGATCTGCGCATCGAGCGTCTGGACGTTCAGCAGGATCTTGCCCAGGAGATGTTTAAAGACTCCAAGTACAAGAGCGAGCAACTGCCCAGCATTGCACAGCAAACCCAAGGAAGAGTTACCTTATATCGCCTGGGTGACCACATCGACATCTCACGCGGTCCAATGGTGGCATCTACTAGCTTCCTGGGCAAATGCACCATCTCGGCTGCCCACAAAGTGGCAGAGGAAGGCCCAGCTGGTGCCTTCTATCGCATTCAAGGTGTAGCCCTGCCCTCGGGCTTCCAGCTGAACCATGTGGCATACGGTGTACTGGAGGAGCGTTCCAAAAAACCTGTGAGTATTCTCTTTTGCTTTTCAAATCTGTAAAGTCTGATTGTTTTAAATAAATTTGTTTTTCTTTTTTAGAGCCCCGCACGTCTGCCCAATGAACCCTTCGAGGAACAACAACAACTGCAGTTATCTTAAAACGTTCTTTAATATTTAAAGCTATACGATAAGTGTTAACAGGTAAATCATTAAAGAGCGTCCTCCTTTGTTACAAAAACATAACCGTCTTTAAAAAGTATGTATATACTAACAAAGTTTGAATTCTGTACAATTTCTATTTCTTAATTTATCTTATGGAATGAAATTCTGGAAAGCTCATAGTATTTTAAAATAACAAATGAATATTCTATGGAACACTTCTGGTCACTTTTAAAGATTAAAAACTTCTCGTGCTAGGAAAATTCTTTTTGAGCGAAAACAGTTCATTTTTTGAATTGGCTCTTAGAAAACCTTTGACATATTTCAGATTTCTATAACACTAAGAAATGTTCTGTTTAAATCATGCATACATTTAGCTGACAACAGACTTTTACATTTGGTAACGATTTCAACATTTAGTAAAGGCAGAGAATCGGAGATTCGAAAGAAACAGGCTTAGGCTACTATCTACAATAAGAAAAAGAAATCAACATATCTGTTTGAGATTCAGAGGTCTTTTTTAAAAGCTCTTGAACAGACCCTCCAAATCGTGCTCATTCAGGGCAATAGCCAGCATTATCAGTCCACCCAAGAGGATACCAAGAATTTGTATGATAATACCCTTTGGATCTTTGGCCATCTCCGGATTGTGGGCCACACTCATCGTGGGCACCAGATCGGCAAAGGCGATGTACAGGAAGGAACCAGCGGTGGCTGCATAAATCCATTGCGTCATATTATCACCGATTCCGGCAACAAAAAGGCCAACAGACATGCCCACAAAGCTAAGAACGGAGCTTACAATGTTCATGTAGACGGCTCTTCGCATGGAGACACCGGTTTGCAGGAGCAGAGCGAAGTCCCCCAGCTCGTGGGGCAACTCATGGCAGAGGACAGCGAAAGCGGTGGCAAACCCAGTGACCGGATCACTGGCAAAAGCTGCACCGATGGCCAGGCCATCGGTAAGATTGTGCAGACCATCACCGATGATTACCATAAAGGCCACTGGAGTGAGTGGACGATCCGGTGTCTTCTCGTCTAACTTGGCCTCCTGTAGCATTACATTGAGTTCTCGAGGAGCTGGAAGATCCAGAGTATCCTGCGGAACTGGCTTCTCCATGTGACTGTGACTGTGGCCGTGACTGTGACCATGTCCGTGGCTATGTCCATGACCTGTTTTGCCTCCCTTTAGCAAGGGAATTAGATTCTCCAACATGTACATGAAAAGAGCCGCCAAGAAGGAGCAGCCACAAATCAGGGCAGCCTCATTGCTATGTTTGTGATCCGATTCCAAGGGATTTATACCAGTCACCTCCTCCTCATGCTTCTCTTCCTTAAACAGAGCGTGGGGGAGCAAGTGCATCAGGGCATCACCGGCTAAAGTGCCCACGGCAATAGCCACTAGGAACTTGAGGATTTCTTGGTACGCAGCTGTCTTCATCAGAGGAACCAGAAGAATTCCCAGCAAACCACAAGCAGAGAGAATCAGCATGGTGACGCTGGCATAGATCCAAGCTAAATAAAGTTGTGTAAGTTACCTTGTTAATGAAAAATATAAAATAATTTCAAACACCTACCGTTCCAAATCTTTTGATTCTTCTCGTTAAGATTCTCTGGTCGAGGTGCTTTTTGCTTGCAAACTCCATTATCGATTTGAGCCAATAAAGCTGGACAGAGTTTCATAAAGGCTCGCGGTGTAATCCTCACCGAGTTGATGAACTCGTTATATTCCTCCTCTGAGTTGTGAATCGTATCTGTTGAACCGACGCCATCCTTTTTGATCAACTTGTGGTAGGCAATGTTTTTGTGGAGATCATTGTGGTCCACGAGCAAGGAAAGCAGTGACTTTGGGGACAAACAGTTTGCAACAGGGTCTGAAAGTAGTGGAAATAGATATACGATATATTATGATAGGATTTCTAAAACATTTCAGAATTTTGTAAAGCTCTTCTACATGACTAACTAACTAATGTTTATTTCATAGCTCCTATAACTTTCTGGACAGCACCTGTTAGTTCTATTATAAGACTTTTGAGTGCTTTATTTATTAAGTTAGCTATGGGGAATTTTCCCTTTTTTTCCCTTAGAAATCATGTTTACTTCTCAACCTTTGTTGCTATTTTTCTATGGAAATAACAATTACATTTCTCCGATTCCGACACGTTGCTTTCTCATCCGTTGATTGTTATCCAATTCGCATGTGCGAACCTGCCATTAATTCAGTCGGTTGTTTAGTGTTAAACTCTATATGGGACAACGTTGTAATGATTGTGTGCACTTCAATTAACTGTAAAGCCCAACCAACAAAAATAACAAACGAACCGATTGCGGCCTGTTTGTTTCTCGTTCTGTAGCTGTATCTGTATCTGTTTCAATTGTTGTTTTGTTTTGGATTTCCGCATCTATAATGCGTCCGTTTATCGTGTTATCGCCCTGTTTTCGTCACCTGCTGACAATGATCTTTCCTACCTGCTGATTTACGGCTACATTTACGGCCCAAAAGGAGAGAGATATTCGTATCTGATTTTTCATACGCATATATCTGATAATTTATGCGGCAAGGTTGCGATCACAGAGGGAACTTCCTATCAACCAAATGAGATGGGAGGATGGGATGGCATAATTGAATTGATGATAGACCGCAGTCGCCGGTCGCCTTGCACTTGGAAATCGGCCAATTGATGGAAAGAGTCGAGGCCCGGCTTCATCTATTTATACTTCCATTCCGATGCGACATTCTCCCGGCCTCAATTTGTATTGTGCCACAGGTAGTGCTTTATTGCATTTGCTTTTTATAATTGCCCGTCAAGTGAGCTTTAATCCATGTATTTATCATTCTTTTGGATTCCTTGGATCCCGGCTAAATGTGAGAAAATCTAGCCTACTGTTTATGGCTTTGTTTGTCTGTCTTATCGTATCTTGGGTATTATCAGTCATAGTTGATGGTCGGCAAACACTACGGCTAGAAGTGGAGTGCGAAATCCCTGACTATAAAGATTGCCATGGGGCATTTCTAAATTAAATATTGCGGGGCTACACTCACCAGAGCTCTCCCTTGGGTGCCGATGCTTGGGGTCGTGAATTTCCAGGAATTCCGGAACTTCAGGGCCTTTCTCTGGCTTTGAGAGATTACTGGATGGCGTAGAGATTTCCACCTCCAGAGTTTCCTCATCGGTGGCATTAACTCGTGTCGGCTCGAAATAATTTGTGACGTTTGTGGTGTGGGTAATCTCGTTGGAGTATCCTTGGGGTCGATGCTGATCGATGGTGTGCGAGGGATCGAATTGGATTTGACCCAGGTTCAAGCTGAACATCAAATGCTCAAGACCCTGGAAAGTTATAAAATAAATTTTTCATAATTAAAGGCATGTTTTAAATGATACTATTGATGAATCTAACGATTATCTTAAGTTAAAGGGGTTCAAAAAAATATAAGAAATTCTTAGTTATTCTAAACTGTTTAGATTTTGTAGAAGAGTTTTATAAATATTAAACTTTTGATTTCAGGAAATTATCAAAATTTATTGAAAAGCAGGTGGCATTAACTTTATTTTGTTGTTATCTATCTAGACATTTTAATGATAAGAACCTTGATTTTTATATTTGTATTATTATGGACAAATTATTTTCTTTTAAAGATAAGAAACTATTTGATAAAATGTAGTAATAATATTAGTTTAAGAACTTTTGTCAAGATAATTGGCATTAAATGGCCTACACTTATCTATGTACAAAGTTTGGGAAAGTGTGGTGATTCATAAAGGTTTTAGAAAGGTGTGATATTCTACACAACTGTTCATATTTCAGCACTACTTGCAACCTTGAACTTTTTAAGGCCATATATTTATGTTAAGCACAAACAATTGAGCTTGAAATTTCTGGAGACATCCCCACTTAAACAACTGCCAGCTGTTTCGATACAATGACCGGCCTAAAATCTTTTTCAAAATATTGCTTTACATACTTTTCCGCCCATAATTCGCACTAGATATTTTCCGCTGATTTGTCAAAGCATTATCTATCACGGATAATTACTTGATTTACTTGTCAACGTGCCAGGCAATTATATTTACATCTGAATTCATTTGCTTATTGTTATTTCTCTTGTCTGGTGCATTTTTGCTGTCGGAAAAGTGGGTGGAGATCTCGGGGGAAGGGGATTTCCACCTAATTGCTTTGACAGCGAACTGTCGCCGGGGATTGGGGCGTGTGTCAGGTGTATGATGAGTGGCTCCAAAGAATTCCTTAACCAAGATCAGGATTGCGGAATTAGCATATCAACAAACATTAGGCGAACACGCGCTGGCTTCAAAAAAACTATTTATTATGGAGCTCAAGCAGCCACCAAATGGCAATTTTACTTTCATTCAGCGAAAATTTGCTTGTGTGCCAAGTATACTATGTAATCGAAATTGGAATATTAGAATGATAATAGAATATGAGGTGGGTGGTGGGTGGCCAGGGGGTGGGGACCTCTAATGTTAGTATGCCGAGTGCGTAAAAAGTAAAAACATTTTAGTAACGTGCCATTTAAATGGACAGAGCGTATTGCGTAGCCTATACGCATGAGTAATGTCAATTGGCTCGGATTGTATGGAATCGGACTGTCTGTCCATAACTTTGGAGTCCATAAGCATAACGATCGCATTGCGAAAGTAATAGGTGAGGGGGCTTTCTTATATACTATATTTCGTCAGCTGTGCCGGCCTGTCATCCTCATTAGGAGAAACCGTCTTATCGTTCTAATCTCCTAATCTCTGTCTTATATAGTGGATAATGTAGATGGAGATGGAGGATGTTGTGGGCCGGAGGCGGTGCCACGACACTCGTGTTGATGCTCAAGTCTCGAACTATATATCACACTGTGTGTTGTTCGTTTGTCTGGATTTTGATTAAATTTATGATAATGCTCGCAATAAAGTCTACGTTTCGGATCATACATACTACGTTCCAAACGAGACGAGTGCCCCCTGTGTTATAAAATTGCTTCGCGTATATAAAGATTACAACCTTTTAAGAGCGACGACGCGTTTATAACTGTTGAGAGTGTTTTTGTTTGCCTGTTTGTCAACTTGGTCAGAACAGAATTGTTTCACTTTCACAATCCCCAAATATTTGATGAGGTCTAATTTTTATAAACCTCGTTTCCCCCCAACTCTCTTTGTTTTTGTTGCTGTCCCAAAAATACAAAAAAAAGACACAAACTCACTAATTTTTTGCCATAACATTAACCGCAAAAGCTTTGTCCGTGTCCGACTTTGTTTACCCGTGTTTACCTGGGCTCAAATTACTCTTGTGTGTGTTTACAAGGCTAGTTCGATGGGTTATTGGCTATTACCTCAAAGTTGATTGTCCCGCCGTTGCCGTATTTTTGGAATATCTGGGCCAAATAGCGATTATATTCCGTGGAACTCTGCACAGTTTCGAAAAATATCGAGACCAGGCATAGGATGGTTAAAACCAGTACATGCTTTTTGGCCATCTTAATCAACTGAACACTAAAGTGGTATATGGTTTTTACTTATATCGAACTCGCACTCTACTGGACGCTCGTCATTTCACGGGTCTTCACCGGGATTTTCTCGAGTTTTCACAGACGCGTGCGATCCGTAACGCTGCGGCCAACTACCGATCCCGCTCAACGGTCTTTTGAAATGACAGTTGCGCCCACGCAACGTTTTTATACGACTTTCGGCGAGAGGCGGGTTCTCCTTTCTCCCTCTCTCATGGGGGGTTTCTCATCACTCTGCGCACTCGCTACAAACTTAACTGCCATTCGGGTTAAGCTTTGGAAAAGCTTTCGCTGGGCCTTTAAATTCGACGGGCAAAAAAAGTTTAAATCGGTTAGCCGTTAGGAAATCCTACTTAACAAGTGTACTATTAGTTGCTTCTAGTTTAAATATATTTTACATTTTTATACCCGTTACTCGTAGAGTAAAAGGGTATACTAGATTCGTGCAAAAGTATGTAACAGCTAGAAGGAAGCGTTTCCGACCCCATAAAGTATATATATTCTTGATCAGGGTAACTAGCCGAGTCGATCTAGCCATGTCCGTCTGTCCGTCTGTCCGTCTGTCCGTCTGTCCGTCTGTCCGTCTGTCCGTCTGTATGAACGCTGAGATCTCAGAAACTACAAAAGCTAGAAGGTTGAGATTTCCCACACATATTCTTTGGCTTCCTACGCAGCGCAAGTTTATTTTAGCCGAGCGCCACGCCCCCTCTAACGCCCACAATCGCCCACTAACGATTTTAAAATGGGTCCTGCGCCCACATCTTTAAAGATTTCCGAGAAGTATAAATGCAATTTTGTTGTGTATATTTATACCTATCGAAATGTAGAAGACATTTTTCAAATCGGACCATTCATTAAAAAGTTATACGCTTTATAAATTGTCAACATATATCTATCTCCCTCGCACTCCCTTTAGCTGAGTTACGATTATTAGTCGGGACACCAACCCGACACAGCGTTCGCACTCCCTTTAGCTGAGTGACGGGTATTAGATAGTCGGGACACCAACCCGACTATAGCGTTCTCTCTTGTTTTCTTTTAAAAACCAAAAGATTTCTTGCCGGTAAAAAATTATATTGAATCTCTAGAAGGCGGTATTTGTCTTTTAAAAATATGAAAGAACATCTATTTGTTCCATATGAAAATGCCAATTCCAAGTTGTGGATTGTCATAAAATTGTAATATTTAGTACACGAATTTGCTCTTCACGGTGCTTTTAATTTCTTGGTATTTATGTAGGTTAGTTTCTTTATTACTTACTATTGAGGTTTGTCTGAAATATCTTAGTAAAAATACTCATGAAATTTTCTAGATTTATATTGTTTATTATTAACTTTCTTATACAAAACAAATTCGATTTTTACATTTCGCAAAAGTTGCTTCAATAATAATTATAACTTACTAAATAAGCTCCTAATTACTTGTATAATATGTAAAAATTGGTTCGCATTTTGTATAGTAGACATGTTTTTCGTGTCTCAACTTTCTGCTTTTGACGAGGAACTCATTTTTGGGGTGAAATATACAGTAGTAATAAAATTAGCAAATATTCATAATAATAAATTGAGCAGGGACTTCCCTACCAGAATGCATTTGAGTTATTTACAATAACACTTTTGTAATGTTGTGCGTAGGTTTCCAAAATTTCGCGTTGCTAACCTATCTTACTGGCAAATTGAGACTTAGGCTAACTACAAGATATTTCCTTCGATAGTTGCGTTGATCGATACATTCACAAAAGGCACTCCCTCCACTCCAATCGTAGAGTCCTGCGTTCCTAGTCAAACTTCTCCTGGTTGGGCATACAGATGAAGAACTTGGAGCACCACAGGTTTATGGTCTGCGAGGTGTCCGCCAGCCACTTGACCGGATTGTGAATTGTCAGATAGTAGACGGGGACGCCAGACAGGATGATGATCGTCCCTACTCCCACCACGAAGGGCTCCTGCGCGCACGATGAGATGACCAGGAACAGGCAGACGATCAGGTAGATGATGGGCAGCACTAAACTGACTTTGATGGGTCGCTCCGTTTTGGGTTGGGTGTAACGCATCCACAGCAGTCCGGACACCGAGATCAGTGTGAACAGCGCCTCCACATAGCTAACGTAGTTGATCAGCACATAGATGTCATTGATGAACAGCAGTAGCAAGGTGAGAACGCCCTGGAAAATTGAAACAGAGATATTACAAAATTAATGGATAAGAATTAATCAAGTTTCTATATGATACCATACATAAATGCAATGTTTATAAAAATATTTCAATTCTTAAGTAGAGGAATTTGAAGAATTATTGAGTTGTCGAGTTTATAGTTTTTTTTTTTTTTTTTTAATGGAAATCGACAATCTCATTATTTACTTAGCGCCCTGCGTAAATCATTCAATTTTTGCTTTATCATAGTATGCCATGAAATTTCTGATTTGTTTAATTCAATTCTAGTGAAATAAATTGAATTGAATTCATTTCAAATTGAATGAATGAATGAATACTATTTATGCATATTTTGAATTTGCCAGATTTTTTTTTGTGCTTTCTTTTAAGAACAAAAAGAAATTGTCGTTTAAATTATTTCGGAATTCATGCCATTCATTCATTCAATCCTATTAAACTTTAAATTCAAATTCATTGAATTCTATTAAACTAAAAACTCTAATTAATTCATTTATTTAAAACAAAAAATTCAAAATAATTCATTGAATCCATTCATGCAGGACTCTATTATATACCTCCTGGGAATATTTTATCAGGTTTTTAGCTCACCAGGAATATTAGGGATGGCACAGGCGTCAGGCAATAGACGTTGATCAGCGAAATGGCTGCCGGCAGGTGACCATTCCTAGCACCTACGAAGAACAGTCGCGAGGAGGCGAAGATCGCTCCGTTCAATGAGCCAAAAGTAGCGCATGCCACGGCGAAAGGCATAATCCAGGACAAACAGCCGAGCATCTTGTCACCAAAAGTGACCGCCACTGCGTCCGACGATAGAATCTCGTCCGGCGAGAGCACCGAAAAGTATGCAATGTTCGTGATTGTGTAGATGATCGTGACCACCGGCATAGAGATGCAAATGGCCTTGGGAAGATTTTGGTAGGGATCCTTCAGCTCCTCGGTGACGAAGTTTAGATAGTTCCAGCCGGAGTACGAAAAGAGGCCACTATAAAAGGCCAAAGCTATGTAGCCGGGCGTGTGAAAGCCTCCGGAGAAGGGTTTCTCCCAGTACTCCGTGTTTCCTTTGAACAACCACCAGACTCCGGCGCCGACGATCACCAGGAGGGCCAGCACCTTGGTGCCCGTAAAGATGTCCGTCACACGTGTAACCCACTTCACGTTGTAGCAATTGATAAGCGTCAGCACACCTAGGGTTAAAGATCAGGCAATTAGTCAATACCGCAGTTCCACAACTGATTAGCTATCAGCGCATCTTACATATCATGGCAGCCGCCAGCAGCTGAACCGCTCCGATGGGCGCTTCGCAGGAGGGCCAGAAAGGTTTCAGCAGATATTGGGCAAAGGTTAGCGCCGTGATGGCATTGCCCGTGGGCACCAAAATCAGCAGGGCCACCCACAGATAAAGGAACGCGGGCAGAGGGCCAAATGCAGCCCCTATATAAGCGTAATCTCCTCCCGATTTGGGTATCATCGTGCCTGCAAAAAGGAAATCAGTCATTAGTAATTGAACACAATTTGCTTGCCATCAAAACAAGACTATCTTTTAACAATGTTTCTGTTTTTAATTTACTTAAGATTGACCCGGTCAAAAATATTTGCTTTGCATTTAAAGAGTAATCTTTTAGGAATATCTTGCCCCAGAACGTGCAAACATTGGCGAACTGATAAGAATGACATAGTTCCCCTAATGCTTAGATGCATAGAAGTATTTGCCTATCTAACGAGGGTTGTTCAAACAATTAGACATAATTTTGAAAAAAATGAGTAGCATTTGTTAACTACTTAATGTGCCAATAATTCTTTGTCTAACATTTATCATATCACTTAACATTTATCATATCAGCTTACCGGAGTTGCAGTAATTGGTGCTAATTTAAGGGAGGCAGCTAGTTTAGCTATTCATCTAAGTGATCTTTTTGACGAATAAGTTAATATTTAATCATTTAACTTTGTAAAAAGGTTTAAGATACTAACTTTAAGACTTCAGTCAATTAAACTCTAAAATTTCGATTGTTTGATCGTAGCTTCGAACATATTGATCAATTCCTATTAATACCTTTTGACATTCTTAGACTAAAATAAACCTTGAAAATTATGTTAATTTGTGTTTGCCAACAAATTTATGGTAATAAGTGTCTGCCAGGTTTATTGTTAAAAAAAACGTGTTCTCAATGACTAAGAATACTTTACAAAAGATGACGTAAAAAAGAGAAAAGTTAAGTCGACTCCTTGGTTCTCTTAAATTTGTTAGATCTTTTGGGGTTCGTTAAAGGTTTCTAAGAGAGTAAAAATAAAAGCTCTCAATCGTTTGCAGATCTTAGGACGGTCGATGAATGTATGTTTTTGTATATGTGTACTTTGAGAAAAAGGGGTTGCGAATTTTGATTTAACCCCAGACGTTCTTGCCCTGAAAAACCAAGTCGCAAAAGCCTGTGTCCTAATCATTGAACAAATTTCTTGAAAGTTTTTACACATTTTATAGTTTACCAAGTATAATAAATTGGAGGAACCAAGTGATTACTATATTAAGAGATAAGAGTTCTATTCGTTGATAATTGAAAGGTTGTCTGGCCCGTTTTAGGGACAGTTCGCATCTCTTCTTCGATTTTGTTGGGGGACCCATTGAAGAGGTCATCTTGATGGGACCGAGCTAATTTCCATGCCTTTAATGTGTCTCCATGGTAATTGGTTGGAGTAGCTAATCTCAACAGATTCTCACAACGGGAGAGCTAACTCAAAGGTCATAATAATTTTCCAGTTTTTGTTTGTCTCTTGGATCTGAAGAGTTTTTAATTGGAACTACGCAAACTGTTCCTGTTCTCCTTACAATGTTTTAATTCAGAAGGCTAGCTATTTATAGAATTTCCAAGTACCAGATGTCGCTTATAAGTTTTATGTACTCACATATATTGTACAGTTTGTGGGTACTTGAACTTAAAAAGAGAGATCCCTGAAGTCAAATTATAATGAATGAAGGTTCTTAAATCTTAAGGAGCTTTGGTTTTTATAAAGGATGTTTACTGTATATTTTGGACAAAAGACTTTTTGGTAAAAATACATATTTCATTTTACTTCTTCCACTGTTTTATGCATAAAACCATGGTTAAGAATTTTTAAGTAGCAGTATTTTTTTTTTTTACAATTTCATATTTTTTCCATTTAAACTTTAATGATTTTTTCACTGTGCAAAACAAGTACCAGATTTCTAGATAATCTCTTGCCTTAACCTCTTTAGCAGATTTCCCTGACTCAAGCATTCTCGGCGCGAAGAGCACTTGCTCCAGTTAGTCGATTGTGCTGTGCTTGCCACAGGTGCTTGTCTTACACCTATGTAAACAACTCCCCCACCTATGTCAATGGAATGCCATATGCTGACCCCATGAAGTGCTGTCATCAGCGGGAAGCAATAACTGCCAGCGCCGCAGAACATTGTTGTTTGACTGGGCGTGGGCTTATTATCGAATTGGAAGGCGACAAACCAAAAATTCCCCATCCATGGCTCATTACTCACCCAATTCCGCATAGCATAGGGCTCCCACCATGCTGAGCACTCCGCTGAGGACCCAGACGATGAGGGACTGGCCGATGGAGCCGGAGAACCTGAGCACTCCCTTGGGACTCACGAAGATGCCGGATCCCACGATGACGCCCACGATGATGGCCACTCCGTCCAGCAGGCCGATCTGTTTCTTCAGCTTCACCCCGGAACCCTGACTCCCGCTGTCCGCCGTGGAATTATTGGGTTCCGCCGGAGGAACCTCGAACACCTGGCGGGGTATCAGCGAATCGCTGGCCTGAACGCGCGCCATTTTTAAATATTTTTAGGTTTGCTTTACGGGTTGTTCTTAAAACCCTTTGGGTTTTCTACTGTTTAGGGTACTTTTTCGATTTTTTGGTTTGGTTGGGTTATATGTCCACTAGTCCATTGCTTTTATCGGGGTTTTCTTGTACTTTTCTCCGGTTTTCTTCTTTATCAGCACACTGTGCCAGCGTGGAGCTTCGAATACAGTTCAGTTCGTTTCAGTCCACATGGTTTTCTGTGTTGTTTTCCGATTTCAGTTCTGTTTTGTTCGGCGCTTCACTTATTTCACTGCTCTTCAGTACACAAACACACACATTTGTCGCCGGGGCTGTATATTCAGAACCGATAAGGTATATTATAACACACGTGGGTCTATTATACTCTTTTCGAATCGAATGGGTTGGGTGGTTTGTTCAGGAAACCGAAAAACGTGTCGCCTGTCTGTGGGTTTGTTTTAAAAAAGCGACCAAAAAATCTACAAAATACCGGATGGACCGAACCGTACCGCTCGCCGCACGCTCTGAGTTCAAACTAAGTTTGGAATATAATTTTACCCCCCTTTATGAGCGCTGCCTGTCGCTCTGCCGGCAACGCTGCCGGTTCAACTTGGGCTTTGCATTCGCCTGGTTTTTATTATTTTTTATTTAGGTAGCCACGGCACAGCTGCCGCTCTCTCGCGCTCTTTTGGGCCATAAACATCTTACCTGTTACCTGTAAAAGGCGCTCGCACTTTCCACGGAAACATCCGCCGGCCGCTTTGGCAAAACGCATGATGCAAGACCCCCAAACATTTCGCTAGACAAGAAGTTGGAGTGCCAAAAATAAAGCACGTGTAGCCGCCTAAGAGAAACTCCCCGGCATAATATCTCTTAAGTTTCATTTCTCTTCCGTCTTAGTCATTGACCCTTCGTGTTACCCATAAACGGAACGAGGACTTTTGGCCGTAATCTTCTAGCCACTTTGTTGTCAGTCATTCAAACACTGGGTATGTGATGTGCCAAAAGCTATTTGCCCACTGATTTGTAGAGATCTTTAATTGTAGCTGATTTAACGGCTTTGTGGGGCAAGTATTGCAAGTGAAACTTGCCGCGAACTATTAATGCAATGTGACGAGGTGATCTTCAAAAGTCACCATAAATAAAGACTTTGAAAATGAAATACTAAATTTTGTTTAAAAATAAATTTTCAACAAATACATAATTAAAGCAAACAAATAAAAAAAATATTTCAAATGACAAAAACTACAGTCCAAGTTCCATAATTTAAATTTCTATCTGCCAGCGTAAAAAATGTACTTATTTGTATTTTTTTAAATTAAATTATTTTTTTTTAAATAAAGTTTTAGTTTTTTCTTATAAAAACTTTGTTTTTTAATTTAAATAAAAAACCACTAAATAAGAAGTAAATTTGTTTGAAAGTTCCATAATTTAAATTTCTATCTGCCAGCGTAAAAAATTTAATTATTCGTATTGTTTTTTAATTAAATTATTTTTTTTTAAATAAAGTTTTAGTTCTTTTTTATAAAAACTTTGTTTTTAATTTAAATAGAAAGAAATAAAGTAAATATTATAATATTATTATTATTTTTTTTTTATTATTTCAAAGATACAGTTGCGAAAAAATAATAGCACCACTTCGTCACAGGTTCTTAATATTAAAGAAATATGTGGAAAACGGGGATTTTTATATAAGAAGTTTTTTATTATCTTGATTAGTATTCCACCTATTTAAAAAAATTGATACGGATATCGAAAATATTGTCTACATATAATTTTTTCAGATTTTAAGAAAAAAAGTCAAAAAAAGGCCGAAAAAAATAATAGCACCACTTGCGTTTTCTTTAAATAAAACGTTACGGTGCGCTAATATTCTTGTGTATAAAGGATATATTTTATGAGATTAGACTAAAACTAACTTCTCCTGATATCCAGACATCAAATTGATTACCATTTGGCAATACAAGGACATGTGGAAAATTTTCCAAGTCGGAAAAGAAAAATATTCAAAAAAGAAACATATTGGATAAAAAACGGTCATGAAAACCGGTTGGATTAGTTAGGTTTTGGATCATCTTCATTAAAAATGGCATAAACTTTGAAGGATAACACAGAAAAACCGAGTCCTGGCCCATTTTTCCTTCAAAAATGTTATATCACAAAGCACAAAGAATCTTATCAGGGCCAAAACTAAACTAAAACACGTGCTTAAAATAATAGCGTATATTTTAATAGTTGGATAATGTTTCAATAAACAAATTTATAAAACATGCACTTAAAAAAAAAAATCCTATCCGAAATGCGAAACACATTTACAAGGGCATATGGCTCGTCAAAAAAACTTACAAATGAATGCCCGCAAACTTATAAGATTATGTGAAGGCCAAGTTAAATTGGGTAAGAAGAAATCCTTTTTATAAGTCATGTGTCTTCTAAACACCTAAATTGACCAAAAACATGGTACCAAAACATCCATTTATTGAGCATGGACCTAGTATTAACATTGGCTTGTTTTTCCTTCTTGAAGTAAGATCAATACGGATGAATACATCGTTCATGAATCATCCTATGATGTAAATAGTAATACGGTAGTAATTCGTAGCTTAAACTGAATACAAAATACTTCTTAAATGAATCTTTGACTAATAAAATCCGGCCAGGATCACGGTCAGGATAGCAAAAAAAGAGTTCGAAAGTACTCAGTCAGCAATATACAGTGACTTGTGTACTCGCTTGACCATAACACAACCAAAAATCTTCGAGTTTTTTTTTAAAGACAGTTTATACAGTTAATCTAAAATGTCTTAAATCATATCCGAACAAAATTTGAAAATATATCATGACTTTTGGGCCCCAATTCCTTTATAGGTAGGGTCCTGACTTGTTTAATCGATAGTAAGTCATTATATCCAAAAATCGCAAAAGACATTTACACTTTAAACTTAGATTTACTTGTTAGCTACCGCCAACTAAAGATTAAGTTACCCATTTGTCATTTTTCTACCTTTTATTCTATTTTTGGAGAAGTGGTGCTATTATTTTTTTCGTACGTTTTTCCAGTTTTGCATAGATTTTCTTAAATAAGTCCAGAAACCTTTTTATAAAGCTAACATTTTTTTCATATTCAAATTATGTTTAGTCTTACTATTTAAAACCCGTTTTGAAAAGTTAAAAAAGTTAAAAAATGTGAGTAGGGTGACTAGTTAAAATTTTTTCGTGTTAGTGGTGCTATTATTTTTTTCACAGCTGTACATTTATATTAAAAAAAAGAGATCGAATATTAGCAAAGTCGTATAACATTTAGAAAGTGTCTCCTAGGCAATGACTACTGTATGCGTTGCTGATTTCCGGTAAAATTTAAATTTCGAATAGGAAGCGGATGATAAGAAGACGTACTTTGGCTAATCTAATACGGTTCATAAAACTACTATGACATATCAGTGAATCAAATGTCAATTAATTTTACAGCCCTATGTACTGGGATTTATGAGATTATATAACCGCAGCTGAAGAGATTTACGGATTTACCACTGAGGTGTAACACGGCACCATATAAAATAGGGCTTCTTTTGTTGCTCATTTGACAAAGATTACTCCAATAGATTCGGCGGTCTTTTATGTGCTTTTATACTCATTAATGTGAGGCATTTTACGCCGAATCGAGAGGCTTTTGTTAAACACTTGAGTGGATTATCATGAAATGTGCTTTCATGGGGCAGGGGAACATCGCCAGGCGCGTGCATTTGACATTTCAAACTGTGATAATTCAATTGTGAATCGTGAACCTTTAGTACCCGACTGACTATATGGATTAGCCACCCATCTCCACCTCCCCGCCCGCCTGCACCCGCCATAAAAAATACTACAAATAATAAACAAAACAAGTGTAGCGCCTCCACACATTTTAGTAGCTCAGCTCGCGGGATCGGATCATTTTGGGTCCGTGGAGCTCCTCTGGTAATCTAATTGTAAAAGACACACACAGGGCGCTGGTGGTTTGCCGGTGTGGTGGTGTCTCCATAGCCGCAATTACAGTGGTTTCGGTGGATCAGTTCGGGCCCCCGTTCGCGGTTGATTAACTGTGATTCCGTGTGACTTTTATTGTCGCCTCGTAGCTGCGGGATATCAGCTTTAATACCATTTCGGAGGGTATTTTAGTTCTAGGATGAAGTTTGTAAATTATTCCTATACATTTACTAAAGGGGAGTTTTGTAATATCCTGTTTTATATTCAGAAAAGATAGTTACTTGGTAGTTATAGGTTTTATCACGGTAAGGTTTTATTTTATTTAATTAGTTTATTATTTATTAAGTACCCGCAGACCTAATAATTTATAGGAAATAGGGTTCTTTTAGATCCAGACAACATTTTTGAATTAATAGATCCCTTTATTTCTAGGGTATTCCAATCTTCGAACTCAGAGTTAACCCTTCCTTTCTTGTTATTTTTTTAACTTTGCCGCGCCACACATAATGTATTCGCTTTAGAAGGAGAAATATGATGGATCACTTCCATATGCAATTTTCGTTAATATTTCGGTGTCGCTTCCATCACATCATGCCACGAGTCATGAGTTTTCATGATCACCATTCATAGGGTAATGTAAATGTACTTAAATTGCGTATGAACATTGTGCACTTTTATTTTTAGATGAGGAAAACGAGTAATTTTCAACTGGAATATATTCAATTCACTGCTTGCTTTTTAGATTTATTTTTTATATTTGCACGTACTATGAATCCCTAGGATATTATGTTTTAACACGCTCTAACTTTGTATCCTTTGGAGGGAGAACCGTAACCCATTCGCACTGATAATCCGAAACAGACTGAGTGCGAAATTTCCATCTGCGGGTCGCTCTTCCGAAAAAGCTTTAATAAAATAATACGACAAAAAGATAAATAAATATGTAAATCCGAAAAATTCTTTTTTTTTTCGACACAATTGTTTGTTATTGTGTATGTGGGTGTCGGAGGTGAACGACAACCGACAAACAAAAACATAAACAAGTGTTTGTCTCTTTGGAAAGGCGCCCAGTACGCATGGTCCACAATTTCTAAGAGAACTAGGGATTAAAGAGAGGTATCTGCAGTTGCATTTATAATGCACTTGCTTCTCACATACACAAGCGGTCGAAATAATAGAACTAGTTTTCTTATAAAAAATATTCTATCCAAATTCATAATTTTCTTAAGTATAGTTAGCAACATCAGGAATATATTCCAGTCCTTGGAATTTAAAAAAATAACAAATACTAATTTATAATTAACATTTACTAATGATACAAAGATAGCAACTAAGTAAGAAGTTTATTTGTTTGACTTCATCCCAGTTGGCTATTAAGATATTAAAATATTTTAAACAAATTTGCATGTTTTTATCGTATGGCAATGCCACAAACATCCAACTTATCTTGCTGTGCTATCAAGATATCCCGAACTGTTCTCGGCATTGTTTGTTCTATCTTTAGTCAGCTTTTGCCTCTCTCCAGTATTTTCTATATATATAGGACAAGTGAAACAGGACCGCCCATGGGTTCATTGCTCCTGGCTGCCGAGTTGAACAAATAAGCGTAATTTTTTATATGTATTTACTATTTACATATACAGCACGGTACAACATTTTTAAATTCTAACTAATCGCCCAGCGCCGGCACTTTAAATATCTTGGCCGTATTGTCTTCGGAAACAGTCAGCAGTAGATTTTCCTGCGCCTTGTAGACAAACTCGTAGATGTGATAAAAGTGTCCCGTCAGCGTGAATTTTAGCGATCCCGTGCGAGCGTCAAATGCATTTAGATTTCCCTGCGAAGTGGCCGCCAGTATTGTGTTTTCGTTCAGCCATTTGATCCTGGAATAATTAAGGAAAATTAGTAAGGTGTCTAAGTAGCTTAGCTAACATTTTTAGATTGACATTATTCGGTCTTTGGTTTGGGTAATTATAGGTTACAATACTAGCCGGAAAAATCTTTTTCGTATTTTTACATGTAGTTATTAATTGAAAAACGTAAATTAATTGAAAACATAAATAAAATACCACATATATCTCAGGTTATTTTAGGCGTTCCTTACCTTATGACACCATCGTTAGGCACAGGGTTCTCGCATATCGTTCGCAGCGAGGATTTGGCATAATCCCAGATGGAAATTCGGCCGTCCAGTGATCCGCAGGCAAAAAGCTTGAGATCCGCCGAAGCAGGAGCAAAGGCCAGGCACTCAATGCCGTGTTCCGACTGAATTGTGCTAACCGGTCCGTTGTTGGTGCAAAACAGCATTTTGCCTAAAAGGAAACATATATATTAGCATGATTAAAGTTTCTAAATGGTTATCAGGGTTATCCCTAAATTTTCACAGAATAAAATCAGTATAAGAAATATGGAATATCCAACCGCGTCAAGCTTTAAAAAAAATTCCAAATAAATTGGCATTAATTGGGTATGTATTTTTATCAGGGACCGTAATCATTATAAGTGAAAAAATAAAAATGACCATTTAATAATTATTTGTAAATTATTAAATTTAAATCTCTCTAAAATTCCGTACAGAACGACTGCAATCACACTTTAAGTGATATTTTAAGCGAAATAATATCGCTCACAAAATAATCATTATTTCTGAGCGATATTTTTTTTCGCTTACAAATAATCATTAAATGGTAATTTTTATTTTTTACTAAAAAAAAAAATACATTTTTTTGGTCCCTGACTTTTATCATTTACAAAGGTTTTTAATCGGAGTTTAGGTTGTTTTTTGAGTACTGGTCAAAATATTTTAACAATTTATGGAGCAATAAATCATATTATGACAACGCGAGTATCCGTATCTTTCTTTTCTATGATCTATTTCGATTTCCCTTCTATAAGGACCTCTCACCTGACGCCTCAGCGCAAACGTAGAAGGGCGACTCCCTCTCGCAGGCCACCACTGCGTGTGTGATCTCGCCGAAGCCCATGGGATGCTGTTCGTTGACCTCCATGAGCACCTGGCAGCTCTTCAGATCCCACAGCTTCACGGATCCGTTCATGTAGGCGGTGAACAGCTTCTTGCCGTCGCCACTGAGTTCTCCGGATTCGCAGCGCGACGACTGACCCGGCAGGATCTTGCAATCTCCGCTGGGAATGCGCCACACAAAGACCTCGCCGCTGTCGCTGCCCGCCAGCAGGATGTGCGCAGCCCTATGCCAGAAGAGCCAGGACATGTCGCTCATGGAGTACTCCCAAATCTTCGCCAGAATTGGTCGCTCCTCGCGCTGTTCGCTGACCTTGAAGGCGAACAGTTCGCCGGACAGGTCGCCGGTGGCCAAGTAGACGCCGTCGTGGCTGAAGTGCGTTTCCGTGACGGTGTCCTTGTGGTCGGCGATCTCGTAGAGCACCTCCGCCGTGCTGGTGTCCCAAACGTAGGCGCGGTCGTCCTCGCTGCCCGTCACCGCCCAATTGTAGGCGGGATGCAGGCTGCAGGCGAAGACGGGAGCCGTGTGCTCCTTGAACGTGACCGCCGCCTCGTCCCTGATGTTGGCTATCCGCTCCCGGTCGCGCAGCTCCTCCTCATCCTCCTCCTCGTCGTCATCGTCTCCGCCACCGGCCATCGCCAGTCGCGCCTCCAGCTGCTCCAAAGTCACCTCCTCCAGGTCGTCGTCGTCCTCGTCGAGCGGCTGCTCCTCCAGCTCAATTATCTCCTGCAGCTCGTCCTCGCCATCGTCGAAGTCCGGCCGGTGCGGCGGCGTGTTGTCCCGCATCCTTGCTCCTTTGTGGTCCAAAAACGTGAAATTTGGCTAAAAACAACAATTCACAGCGTCACACGTGCTAGTAGCAGTGCTGCCAACCCCGGTGGTCATAAAATAGCTAGAAAAGCCTGTGAAAGTAGCTAGAAATAGCTAGACAATGTCTCCGCTCTGTTAGGTTGGTGTATTGGCTAACAGCCGTTAACGTAACGTAAATAAGCATATAACGTAACGTTTAAAAAATAAATAATTTAAAAGTTGGCATTAAAAAAAAGTTTTTATATTGCGTTAATTTTTGATTTAATATAAAAATTGTGCAATTAAATTTTAAAATGTTATTAAATTCATTTTAATGGGTAATCTTTTGAATATATTTGTAAACAAATCATCTTACAGAGAATAATTTAAAAATTAATGCCAGTCACTTTTAAATGTTTTTATTAAATTCATTTTAATGTGTAATCTTTTAAATATATTAGTAAACAAATCATCTTACAGAGAATAATTTAAAAATTATTGCCAGTAATACTGTAGATAGTTTAATTTAAAAAGTTCCACAGCTACCTGTTAAAGTTAACGTAATTTTTTTATTTTATTAATATTTTACATTTATTTGTTAATTTATATTTTCAAGTTTTATAATGTAGATAGTTTAATTTAAAATGTTTCACAGCTGCCTGTTTTTTATTTAATCTAATTTTATTTTATTTAATTAATATTTTACATTTGTTAATTTATATCTTCGAGATAGATCAGTTTTTAGCTAACTAAAGATATCTTTAGCCTGCTTTTTTTTTAGGCTTTTGCCTTCTTGGCTTGACTTTCCTTGCACTTGGAGTGCGTTTATACTCGACCGCCAGTTTAGATTTGACAGCCTTTACCCTCCCAATCAGTTTGTCCACGGAATCGAGATCCCCAAAGTCGCATTCAGCATCGCAAATGTCGGCCCTGTGCTCAGTATTTTCCGCCGCCTCGTCCAGGTCCTTTAATTGCTGTTGCAAGGAATCGATGCGTTGCAAAAGTTCCTTCTCGTAGCTCTCGATTTGTTTTTGATACTCCAGGGCTTCAGCCTCAACTTTTCTCAGTTTCTCGTCGTATTCCGTTGGAGTTTTCATCGTTGCAGCTAATTTAGCCAGGCGATCGTCAATTAGATCCTGTTCCCTTTTCATCTCTTCCCTGAAAAGATTTATATTTTTTAATTGTTCTTCAACTTTTCTATCTAGTTTCTCCTTTTCAATTTCGAATTTTAATTGGGTGTATTGCAGTTGCCTGTCCAATTTGTTGATGCCATTTTCTGTTAAGTTATCTAAATCTCTTTCTAGTTGGTTGATTTCCAGTTGTAGAGAACTTGGCTTAGTGTTGCGATAGATAAAAACGCTTTTTAAAATTGGTTTTGGGTCATATTTTTCAAGATCTTTTTGCTTATCTTGCAATTCTTTAATGCGCTCTTTGTCAATATTATCTTGTAACTCATGATAGGCGATAGTATCTTTTCTATCCTTATTAATTTTTTCCAAACTCGTATTTATTCTTATAGAATCATTTGAGCAAAATCTTACCGAACTGGAATTTTTAGATTCCAAATCCTCGCTTGTCTGGGTTCTACCAAGAGTTCTTTTAATTGTCGTTCTAATAATTGTAATATTATATAATACCGACGGACTTTTTTTGACCATTTCGTCGGCTGCCTCTACAGATTTCTTAAGTTTTGGCCAATCAACGGAATTTATCGAGCTCAAATTATTGATTTTATGTTCCAAGTTGGACATATTTAAATGTAGATTCTTAATAAGCGTGTCCTTGTGACGACATTCTTTTCCGTATAAGGAATTCAGCTTCTGTATGCTTTCGTTTTCCAGGTTTAGAAGACTTTCAGCATCTGAGAGTGTTTGATTCGTTTTTGCTAGACTTTCTTTTAAGGGTTCTATTAGTTTTGTTAATTCTTCCAGGGAATCTTTGACCTCCACGTCTGTTAATATTTTTTCAATATTCTTAATCTTTTCTTTACCGTCGTTACAACAAGTATTCTTATTATTTTTATTTCCAAGAGAACTTTCTAGTTGACGAATATCCTTTAGTTGACTTAAAAGAATATCTTGCAAGTTTTTCGCCTTTTCCAGAAGTGGCTGAAAATTCAAGCTTGGTTTCTGCGAGTTTATATTTTCGAGATTATCTAAAAAATTATTTTTATAATTGTTTAGCTCAATTAAAATGTTGGGGCAACATTTTCCCGTAGAGTAATTAGCACCACTTCCTTGAACATTTTTCACATTGAAGTCCTCTAATCTAGTTTTAAGTCTGGAAAGATCTGAATTTAAATCAGTGTACTCGGGCTTTTCAGTAGATTCTTTGCCCTGCAGATTCTGGAGAATATCTATGCCATCGTTTATGATCTCCAAGCGATCTCTGATTGAATCATAGGGACAGCAATTTTTAATGGCTAGCTTTTCAAGCTGTTTTAAAATTTCCGAAATTCTGTTCATATTTCTATCTAACTTCCGAGTTCCGTCAATCTCGCTAAAAATAAATTGGCCAAATGTGCCATTTTCATTGCAGTATTTCAGTTCTTCCCTTTCATTGAAATTTCTTTCAGTGCTTTCTTCCTCGGTTTCAGTTGGCTCTGTTGATTCGTTGGGAACATCGGTTCTATTGCACCAACCTTGCCATTTTCCGAATGCCATTTTGATATTCCGACCCTTGTTGGTCGTCTCGATCACCATGAAAAGGTTTTGGATTAGGAACCTGTCGTCAATATACCTCTGCCATTTGGCGGCAATTTCCCAAAACTGTTGTTCGCCATACGCCGAAAGTCCCTTTGGCACGCAATGCGCCTTTCTATATTCAGCTTTATCCTCATCTTGTACCTCGTTTTCACCGGGTAATGGCTCCTTTACATCGCCGTAGTCGGGCTCCTTGTCCCAGACGTTGCGACAAACCCTTATTAGCTTCACACAAAGCTCGTACTTCTCGATATTTCCGTGAAAAATTTGAAAGGCAATATCGCTTTGCTTCTGAGCTGTCACCAGAACCAGGTAAAGAAGCACAAGTTCAAAGCGAATCTGCATTAGAAATAGGTCAGTTATTTAAAAAACAGTTATAAATTGATAGGGATTAGAGCAGATTTATTTATTAGATTTATTTAAGAAATTGCATAGAACAAAAAAAATCATTCTTAGCAAGCCATTAGATATAGTTTTATTTATTTTTAGTTTTTATCCAAACGTAATACTAATAGTTTTATTTAGTATTCTAAATATTTAACAATTATTTAACGAACTGTGTAATATAATAAAGATATTAAAATTTGAACACAGAATATTGGGTTTTTCAATTTTTCCTCGCTTTAGAAGTAAAATTATTCAGAATTTAGTGCTTCCTCAAAGACATTTCTTTAGTAAGTTATAGAAATCTATGGCTCATTGTATAAGTAAAATTAAAAAAGTACACAATTATAATTGTTAATCATTTTCGGTTATATTTTGTGAGTTGCCTTGGGGATGATTGCTTTTCAGAATTCCTTCTTTTTTTGGAGGGTTGGCTATTTACCATGACTTGACTGCTAACTTGGCTGCTTGATTTACATCTGATTGCTTTCATTCTTTGGGACCCATTGAAGTCTACCCCAACTCCACCTGGGCAACCTTTTCTAATTCAATTCGAAATGGCCCGGGTGCGGAGGGACCTGTCTATTGTTACCCTCTTCTAGGGTCCGGTGCATTTATTTTTGTTTAGGTGCATTTCGGTTTCGATTCCCACGGTTTCTTCCGTACGTGTCCTGCGCGTGAGGAGCGCACGCATAACGTACGTTCCCATGATTTTATAAGGAGGGTTCTCAAAAGGAGTCACAGAAAAAAGGAAATGATTAGGGGAAGCAATTCTAGCAATCCTCCTACCTGCGTCGTAATTGTAGAGGTTTTTATTGATAAGGCCTAGAGTAAACATTAACAGGAAAAAGATTTATGCCAAATAGGGTAGATATGATACTCTTTCTTTCTTTGTCTATAGATTTTACTTGCTTATATTTTATTTCTCTTTTTATTTAAATTTTTCAGACTGAGGAATTAAATAAAATGTACACAAAAATAGTAATAATAAAAGACTTAAAAAAGAATTATGAGGAATACTATTTTAAAAATCTAAAAATCATTATAATCGGAATATGTACGGACTCGCTTCGTAATAATTTGTTATATCAAAATGTGTAGTATTTGGTTTCATATCTCTCATTTTTATACCCGTTACTCGTAGAGTAAAAGGGTATACTACATTCGTGCAAAAGTATGTAACAGCTAGAAGGAAGCGTTTCCGACCCCATAAAGTATATATATTCTTGATCAGGGTCACTAGCCGAGTCGATCTAGACACGTCCGTCTGTCCGTCTGTCTGTCTGTCCGTCTGTATGAACGCTGAGATCTCAGAAACTACAAAAGCTAGAAGGTTGAGATTTCCCACACATATTCTTTGGCTTCCTACGCAGCGCAAGTTTATTTTAGCCGAGCGCCACGCCCCCTCTAACGCCCACAATCGCCCACTAACGATTTTAAAACGGGTCCTGCGCCCACATCTTTAAAGATTTCCGAGAAGTATAAATGCAATTTTGTTGTGTATATTTATACCTGTCGAAATGTAGAAGACATTTTTCAAATCGGACCATTCATTAAAAAGTTATACGCAATCAAAAATTATATATCTATCTCCCTCGCACTCCCTTTAGCTGAGTTACGATTATTAGTCGGGACACCAACCAGACACAGCGTTCGCACTCCCTTTAGCTGAGTGACGGGTATTAGATAGTCGGGACAACAACCCGACTATAACGTTCTCTCTTGTTACATTTAATTTTTTGGAATTACACAGGTCGACAAAAAACCTCAGGACTAATCGCTAAAAAACCTGAAAGGGTTTTAGCTGTAGATTATTACCCCGTACTAATAACACTGTGCAGCATTTTTAGTGCTTTTTAAATTTACCTCGATGGATGCTATATTTTTGGATTCGTTACGAATGCCCAAGATAAACTGCGTTTTCAAAAAAGTTCCCCAACGCAAGGATTCTTAGCAAAAGGACCTCAAAGTTCGAAAAATGCAGCAATTGGCCAACTTTCGGGAGCTCTCAGAGGCAAACGGATTCATGGTTTGATTCGATGCTAAAGTTTTTTAAAAGACACCTTCTTTATATTTCAAACCCCATACTTAGAATAATTTTAGGATTTTTTTTAAGGCAGAAATAGATTCCAGAAAACATAGTCAAAAAACTTAAAAACATACAGCTGCGGTCAAAATAGTAGTAGTGTTGCCGCCCTGTGTTTTTAAAAGTTTGTTGTTGTAATTCATCTTCTTCTGGTGATATTGTATTGATTATAATTGTACTATTAGACTAATTGGATAAGAAAAGTGACAACAAAAAACTTTTAAAAACACATGACGGCAACACTACTACTATTTTGACCGCAGCTGTATACTTTTATGTTTTTTGACTATGTTTTCTAAAACTTGTTTCTCCCTTAATAAAAATCCTAAAATTATTCTAAGTATGGGGTTTGAAAGATAAAGAGTGTATCTTTTATAAAACTTTAGCATCTAACCAAACCATGAATCCGTTTGCCTCTGAGAGCTTTGAAAAGTTGGCCAATTTCGGAATTTTTCGAACTTTGAGGTCCTTTTGCTAAGAATCCTTGCGTCGGGGAACTTTTTGGAAAACGCAGTTTAACTTTGGAATTCGTAACAAATCCAAAAATATAGTATCCATCGAGGTAAATTTTTGATGCTGCATAGTGTAATTAGAGCTACATAAATATTTCAAATGTAATTCTTTAATATAAATGTTTATTTAATTTATATCTTCTGTTTACATAATAATAAAATAATGTTAATTAGCTGTCTTAAAGGACCTATGAAATCTAATTTCTTGTATGACAAAGCGAGTTTATGCTCACAGGCATATCAAATTAACCAGCATAAATCTATAACGCTCATACTTGTATTTTGTGATATATTATAATAGTTTTTTAAATACCCAGGTTCCTTTCTTTATATTATCAAATTTGCTTTGAAGGGTCCCCCATTGCAGGGTGTCTATAGATACGATATTCGTCGTGGAACCGTATTCCCCGATTTTGCTATGCGTAAATAGTCCCGCATCTGATTGACTTGGTCATGAACGGTCATTAAACTGCATTTCCAGAGGGGCGTAAAGTGTTCTTGTATGTATATCTACAAATGTACATGCATGCGCTATATGTATCTGTATCTGCATCCACATGTGAGTGCCTGTGTTTTATACGCGGAATGCACATAAGCTACACTGGCGAGGGACGATTCTTGTTTTGGGGTCCGCGAGATCGTTAAAAACGAGTCAAAATCAAAGGAAAGGAAAGGGAAGGGACGGTCTGGAGTTGGAGTGAGAGGTGCGGCGGACCCTAGAGATGCTGCCGAACGTGCGTGTGGAAGAAGATTAAACGAAAACAAATCACACCAACAGCAGAAGGGAAACAGCGAAGTCAAAAGAGTTTCCAACGGACAGTACAGTTCAAGAAACAACTGATAGTTCGATATAAAAAAAAAAACCAATAAGATATTTAACATTATGGAAGAGTAGAATGAATCAAGATAAAAACCAATCAATTTAACTATCTAATGATAATTACAAAAATATGGGTAAATGAGTATATTTTTATTTTTCTTTCATTCCTTATTATATAACATTAAAAATGTATTTTAAACATTTTAAAGAACGGTTTACTATATTTAAAAAGGTTGTATTTATTTTTAAAGAGGTATAAAACAAATGGACCTTACCCTTAGGTTGTTTAACAGTGTCAATTTATTACTCAACCCAACAAAAAGACGTCCAAAACAAAAAACTTAATATCAAAAAAACTTCAAGAAATTTTATTTCATATGAAGTTATTTGTTTTGGACGACTTTTTGTTGGGTTGAGTACTAGTCTAACTATAAAATCTTCTGTCCCTGGAATTAGATCGCCATTTAAAACTCTATAGAATCGAAAAGGGTATTAAAATGTTCAATATTCACTTATTAATTTATGTATATTGAAGCAAGGTATTTATTCTCAGCAGAAAAATGTGTGCTTCGTTTTTGAGCAGGATTTTGAATTCTTGCCAGAAAACGCCGTGAAGTAGGCAAAACATTTTGAATGTATAGACTAAGGACATGGTGGTACATTTCAATAAATTTTCTTAGGATATGTGCAGGTTTTCTTTGTAAATTTCTATTTACCTGAAAAGTCCCTCTAACTCATGTAAGGAACTGACCATTTCTCCCAGTGTAGACGGTACGAATGACCTGAAGTAAACAGAAGATCTTACGAGGGGAGGGTAGAAAAAAAGAAAAAAGTGATAAACATAAAAATGGGTAGTCGCCCGTCGACTGTAGATAACCGAAAAGGGCCCACAATAAATGGTTGATAACGAAGGGCAAACACACACAGACACAACCAAAGAGAGCCCGGAGAGTGAGTTGGTGTGAGTGCGAGTGCGCTTTGTTTATCTCTATTTACGCGGCAGCGGCGTCAACGTCGTCGGACGTCGCGAGTTGTATAAAATCCGGCGATCCGCCGATCGGAGAGTCAGTGCTCAATGTAAACCGTTAACGATCACATCTCCTCATCTCGTGAAGAAGAACACACCCACTCCCTCTCCCGAAACCCAGAAAATGGGGGAGGTTGGCGAGGGAGGATTGTTGCAGCTTTAAGCGCGCTCCAAGCGCAACCCCCTACGTAATCCTACGTAATCTTGGATGGTACAGAAGCTTTAAAGACCGCTTGGCTCCCCCTCAACTCCCGCCACCACCGTCATCAGTCTACTGGACTCCCACTGGAGAAGGGAGCGCAAGGACATGGACATGGTGATCGAGGACAAGGAGGACCCAACAGGACCGGGCTGGAGGAAAGTGCAATGGTGACTTGGCGGGACTCTAAAACTCGAACAGAAGACTCCGTTTCGACTGCGTTTCCCGCTAGGTCAACACCCCCACAATATCATGTGCAATATTGGTTGATTTTCTATTGACTAATTTGTTATTAACTAATTTGTTGTTGGTTTCACGTTCCTAGAACGTTAGCTGTGATTGTTAAAATTTATTTGTTAAAAAATTTGTTATGTTTGATAAATGTAGATTTTACTTTTGTAAAATCTTTAGACTGCGTTACGTTTAAGATAGCAACACATCGCTCACGTCTTCCATTACCGTTAAGTGCAATCTAGCTTGTAAGAAAATTAGTTTTTCCTTTGTTGAAATAAAACAGCTCTTCATGGGAAAGCTAACAAAAACCATTACTTGTTCTTCTTATTTACCAACATTTTTATACTTTAGCAATGGATTCTGATCTTTATAGGCTTCACAGAGACAAACTTGTTGTAGATGTTTTTTTTTGCATTTGGAGTATCTCATTTTTTACAGATGGTGATGAAATTAAAGAGATATTGTTGAAAAACATATACATAGATGCAAGCAAAAAATAATTTTTGATTCCCAGAAAAAAACTTTTTTAGACGTTTGTAAACAAGGAAAATATCGTCCACTTAAATACAATTTTATAAAAAAAAAATAAGAAAACATATTTGTGGAATAAATACCCTGACTGGATTTGTTACTTTCTTATTAACAGTGGCGGATCCAATAATTGGTTGTGGGGGAATTCCAAAACAAATTTGTTGTTGCATACTTTTTGAATATCACACCCTTGTATGTTTTACCCAAGTGGAGGGACTTATCAACACGACTGTTTTTATAAATACTCTTTTCAGATTATGGCTAAAATTCCGTTAAAAGATAGGAAATTAACCCAAAACGAAAAAAATTAAGCGACTTTCTTTTGCTGCCACTATCTGTAGCTAACAGTTTCTTTGAATACGTCGGAGACTTTATAAAAAACCCTACACAGAGACCATTGTTATCTAAACTCTCGTATGTTATGCTGATGGTAGTTTTCCTCACCGCTTTCCACACGTTTTCTGAAATCTCAGCCAGATCTTTGGGTAAACAGTAAACAGAAACCCAACACATGTTTGATACCGTGGGAATGCCCCACATCTTTAAAGGATCTGCAGACAGGAACTTTCGTCTGTTTTCCCCAGGCAGGACCATATGTTGTAAATGCCGTGTAAATAAACGTTTTTGCCCATTGTAAATAATAAGAAATTTAAATATGTTTTCAATGTTTATTTAAGTTTTTGTTTACAAATTTTGTTTCCAAAATCCAAACAATTGGAACCCTTTTTTGCCCAGCAAAAAATGGGATAATTGTTGGAATACCTCCCGCCACGATTTAACGTGGTTACCCAGCCGCTTTAGAGGAATTTTCAGTGAGTTGGAAAATCCGAAAAGCGCCGCTTTAAACCGATGAACCCAGAGTCGAAGTGCCCAAACTCTGGAGTACCCATCCCGCTGGAGAGCCGAGCTCCAGTCCAGTTGAAGTTATCCCAATTGAAAGTTGAAAAACCCCATTGTTGATCAAGGTTGAAGTTGCAGCTCCAGGCTTTCAGGTTCAAGCCTGAGCCCAGCGGTCCAGGAAGTTCCATTCGATGGCATAGGGCTCGCTGGCTTTGGGCTGCAGTGAGGTCCAGAAGAAAGTGCCGGCATTGGTGCGTGCGAAGTGGACGGGAACGTAGTAGTCCTCCTGATCGATGGTCTGCAGCTCCCCGGAACCGTTTTCATTGTAAACGATGACCGCATCTTCCTTGGCGCACTGGCGAATCTCCTCGATGAGACGATGCTCCAGATGCTCGTTGGCCATGTTGTCCATGTCGTTGTTGAGCCACTCGAACTCGGCCTCCTTCTCCTCGGAGGCGATGTAGGAGCTTCGCTTGGGCTGCTCCTTCTTGGTGTTGAAGAACTGACCCAGTAGAGGCTTGAGCAGATTCTTCAGGCGACGAGAGGGAGACACTTTCGACTTGTACATGGTGTTGGTGTTCTTCTGCTTGCTGATGGCCGACATTAGATATTTTCGTAGATATTTGTTCGTTTGGTGGTGAGTGCGTAGAATGCGTGCTGAGATGTTCTCGCTCCGACGGTCGAATGCTGTGTGATGCTGTCTCTAAGATCAGAGGCGCTATTTATACCTTCTCGGGACCCGGCCGAGATCCTACAGCATCTCAGCCAATCGCATCGCTCGAAGGGCAGGCAGGTGCAAGGATCCGAAATTTCACACGTTAGTCGGTGGCAGCAGGTAGGTCCTGCAGGACCTGAGACCCAAGACCCGAGATCCGAGATCTTGTGCGAAGCGTGGGAATCTCGGGCCCATTTCTCCTTCCAAGACAATTATCCCCCGAAGGAATCCTTGGCGTGGGAACAGCACATTTCTGGCCTTCACTCGGAGTCCCATTTATTGTTTTGGATTTCGGCCGGGTTTGTTGTGCCAGTTCGTCAGAAATATGTCGATCCTGTAACCGAAAACCAGCTACATTCTAAGCCAAATTTATACAGATCGTGCACTTTCATTCTTGGTTATTGTTTGGCTGATTAGTGATGGCATCGCAAAAAGTCCTTTGAGGCACGATCTTGAGAATTCTCACGTTCGGCTGGGGAGCACTTCGTATTTTGATTACTTGAGTTATGGACCTCAAAACTATTTTCGTGTCACGACAGGGGTTCCAAATTCTGATCATCTCTAGTCCTCTCTTTTTTGGGCCATACCCCTCAATTAATTGAATGGGGGTTTACTTTTTTGTGAATGTATCGTATTATTACTCATTTATTGTGGGATGAAATGATTCGTCTCACATTTATATTTTCAGATTGTGGGAATCTAGAACTCGAGTTCTAATGGCTCTCGATGATACAAAAATATTTACAGCTTGTGAGAATCTGTAACTCGTGTTCTGATGGCACTCGGTTATAATTACAAGATAATATAGTTTCGTTCATGCGTGTTATGATGTGGGGGTGGAGTTGAAAATCCATATTTAAATATGATTATTCAAATCTTTAAATTTTTACTTCTACAAATGAATATTTGTTTAAAATATAAAGGCTAATTAAATATTCTGGTACCTAAGAAATTACGAAAATGAGGATGGAACTTAGACTTATCAAATATATCCATCACATATTTAAAATCAATCAAAAAAACACTATTAATGTTATTTTTTTGAAAATTTTAATTATTGTTTAGTTATAATGCAATATTATTATATGGAAATAGTTTAGTACTGCTTATATCAACATCTAATTTTCATATGTATCCAACGTTTTAAAATAAAGTAAATAATTTTTTATTTATATTAAAATCTTTTCATTAAATATTTATGTATTTATAAATTTGATTTTTGTTTATAAATATCCCCTTGTGGCTTAAACCATTCTTAATTCCATTCAGTCATGTTATGCCAAACTGTACCTAGATGTATGCTTTTAATAAAGAATCTGCACTGACTGTATGTAAAACCTATTTACATAACGCACACACAATCTTATGTACGAACATTCCCCCTTTGGAAATACCTGAAAGATCGAACTGATCCGTGCGGCCTTTTCGCATTTATTATTGAGATAGGATTGGCTTTGTTGCTGCTCGCAGGGCCCTTGTTTTTGTTTATCATCGCAGGGACCCTCTCTACCTGTTCCGATGCAATTCGAGATTTATTCTGTCCAGGGCCCAACCCTAAGAAGGAGCGCAGAAAACGAAAATCAGAAATCGCCTCGAGGTAACAGGTTTCCCCAGACCGCTCAGCTTGATTTTTCGAGTTTTTCGAATCCACAACAGGTTTTGATCAAAAGGGAACAGGTAAAGGTTTATTTTTTTCGAGTTAAGGTTCTTAGGGTCTTGCTGTCTTCCATGAATGGAGGGAGGGAGGAGGGGGTAAGAACGGTTTTTGGCTTACAAATTCTTGGAAAACCTTCAAGGAAATTACAATGACAAAGGGGAAAGTTCGAATAAGAAATCAGAAATGTTGTTTGTTTCAATATTAATATTATGTATTTATTCATACACTTAAACATAGATGGAAGACAATGATTAAAGCTGGTTATTTATGCATTTTAAGATGTCCACTTGCTGAGTGTGGAGTTAAAGCTGATGCGGATGTTTAGAGACCGATTCCGATGGAGTCTTTAAAGCTGTTTAGGAAGTTGGATTTTCGTGATTTTCCATTTTCCTCGATCACAGTTGGACAAGCTCGGCTTCCAGTTTCTCGTTCTGGGAGTTCTGGAACTCCTCATCGGACATTGGCAGTGGGAGTTCCGTCGGGATGGTCTGGTTCTTGAGCTGCTGGTGACTCGAAGCCTTGAAGATTTTGCAGGCCACCTTGAAGATCTTCTTCATGGCCTTGGCGGGGGTGTAGGTCTTCTTCTGGCAGGCCTGACTGTAGGTGGTGTTCATCAGAGTTTCGTAGGCCATTTTTGCAGTTTGCGTTTTTATGTTCGATTTGTGGTAGACTGAATGCTGTTGACTGTTCAACGCTGCGATTGAAATTGATGTCCTATTCGGAATGCCGCTCCGTTTTTATACCCGATCCTGGCGAAATCAACCCCTAAGTGTCGACCAATCAGGACGAGTCCTGGCGCAGGTGTTTTTCGGTTTCTCCAGATATGAGAGTCACGCATTCCTCAACTCTCTGCAGGTAGTTTGGGATCGGATCGGATCGTTGAGCTCGGGTCCCTTTTTCGAGCGACCCTTGCACGTGTGCGAAGTAAGGCCACAATTTTCGAAGGCCCTAAATAAATCTCTCCCTCGATTTCTTCGTGGGAGAGTATAATTTCAGTCGAATACTTATATGACGATGCGGCAAGCATGCACAAATACCAAAAAAAAAGAAAGAAAAAACTATCATCCCTTTTTCATGGGTTCGGGTTAGTAATTTGAGTGGTTTGTTTGCGGAGGACTCGGCTCGAATTTATGCCTTGATTAGTTTTTGGCTATTAATTGTTAATAGGCTGACAGTGGAGGATAAAAGTGACAGACCCTCGTTAAACACATGTTGTCGGCAAACGAAAAATATTTACACGTCAACATTTCATTTTTGATCAGTACAGGTAGACTCTGGTCCTTTCGAGTACAGTGAACAATCAGTTCGAGGAGCTCATGATTTTTCTAGATTTTTCGATTGCCACGAAGTCGAGGTGGTTGTGCTGGCCTTTCGTGGCAGTCTTCACTGTCTTCACACTTGTTCCTTTCGCTTGTCTTTGTTCGTTAGCAGAATTTAAAGGGCATAGGGGAACAAGCCTGGGAAAACTGCCCCAGGCGATATTGCAAAATTTTAGATGAGGATTGGTAGATAGGAACCTAATCGATAAGAATTCCAATTTTCAAATATTTTGATCCGCTGGTTTACGAGTAATCTGCCGCAACTAAAGAACATATCACTTGATGTATCTTCCCTTCGGTGGTTCTTGAGAAAACTTTTTTAATGCCAATAATTTTTGTGTTAACCTTCAAGAATGGCAGCCAATCTTTGGATTTTTACCATTCTTATAAGCTACCAAAAATCGCGATTCAAATTTTCAAAAAATTGGTTCAAGACTTTCCAAGTCTGACAACACCGCCAGTTTTTTACAGTTTGTGTGTCCTATAACCATCTACTTCATATAAAATATTCATAATTTTTCGAGTGGTGCAACAGTGTTAAACATACAAAAAACTGAAGAATTTATTTCTAGAAGGGTAGGAATGGAGTCAATAAAATATATTTGGCTTGTAAATAGTTAGTTCTAAGACCAGAATTATTATCAAAGAGTAAAGTTTTTAATATTATGGGTGAAAAGTGGTCCGAATTATAAAATGTTTGGCATGTAAATGTTTGCTTGTAATTGATTTAATAGGGACCCAGTCCCAGTCTAGTCCCCACAGCTTCGAATTTCATATCCTCCCTGGACAGAGATTTCATAAGAAATCCTTTGAGCATGGATGTCCCACAAATACTTTATTTATGTGATTCTAAAGAATTCGCGGTCCAAAGAGGATTATTTAATATGCGAGATTTCGGCACCGTTGTTATTGCGCGAAATTGTTAACAATTTGTTATCATGCTCCGCATATTAAAGCTTTAAAATTACTATCTTGCTTTTTAGAATAACGATGGTACCGAAAGGATCGCATATTAAATAATCCTCTTTGGACCGCGAATTCTTTAGAATCACATAAATAAGTATTTGTGGGACATCCATGCTCAAAGGATTTCTTATGAAATCTCTGTCCAGGGAGGATATGAAATTCGAAGCTGTGGGGACTAGACTGGGACTGGGTCCCTATTAAATCAATTACAAGCAAACATTTACATGCCAAACATTTTATAATTCGGACCACTTTTCACCCATAATATTAAAAACTTTACTCTTTGATAATAATTCTGGTCTTAGAACTAACTATTTACAAGCCAAATATATTTTATTGACTCCATTCCTACCCTTCTAGAAATAAATTCTTCAGTTTTTTGTATGTTTAACACTGTTGCACCACTCGAAAAATTATGAATATTTTATATGAAGTAGATGGTTATAGGACACACAAACTGTAAAAACTGGCGGTGTTGTCAGACTTGGAAAGTCTTGAACCAATTTTTTGAAAATTTGAATCGCGTTTTTGGTAGCTTATAAGAATGGTAAAAATCCAAAGATTGGCTGACATTCTTGAAGGTTAACACAAAAATTATTGGCATCAAAAAGTTATCTCAAGACCGCCGAAGGGAAGATAAATCAAGTGATATGTTCTTTAGTTGCGGCAGATTACTCGTAAACCAGCGGATCAAAATATTTGAAAATTGGAATTCTTATCGATTAGGTTCCTATCTACCAATCCTCATCTAAAATTTTGCAATATCGCCTGGGGCAGTTTTCCCAGGCTTGTTCCCCTATGCCCTTTCAATTCGTGTTGAAATTCTGATTTCACTGTTTCATGGCAGGTCCTTCCCTTAAAATTTGCCCAAGGCTACAGAGATTTTTCTGGATTTCTTTGGTTTCTGGAACCACTTCAGAAATATGTTTTTTGTGTCCTCACAGGCCTCACTGTCCCCACACTTGTTTCTTATGGCTGCTTCTCTGTTTTCTTCACCGAGAAAATTAAAATTTCGATTCGTGTCGAAATTCAGATTTCGTCTCCTATTGAAATACTCGCCACTTGTAATTTTGGACTCATTCTTATTCCAGTCGGGTAGGTTCGAGTCGTATTAGGTGGAGTGAGATAGGATCCTGTCCTATCTACTTGGGGGGTGTATGACCAGGAACCTCGCATGTCTGTGGCTCTTTTAACTATTCCACAGGCATAATTCCTGATAAACACTTACAAATTTATTTTGGTGGCGTTTCAAGTTTAGTTGTTAGTGTCAGGATTCCTAAAATTCAAGCGCCTGAATGAAGCCTGCATAATTAGTTTGTGACCAAAGTGATACAAAATATTTTGGATCGAGTTTTGTATCATTGATTTATGTTGCACTTTTAATGTGAAAAAAAAATATTCAATATGTATTAATACGTCAGTTTGTTAAAAAATGCATTTCATGATGAGCATAAGGAATCTTTATTTCAGAGGAAATGAAATAATGTATTTTATTATTAAATTTTTAATCTAAGAAAATATTTTATTCCTAGAAAAATAAAAATTTATATATAATAACATTTTTAAAATCGAGTTCTAAATAAGTATCCTAATATGTGACATACTTTACTCTTAAAATATTGAAAAAATTTCAGTATAGTATTTAGTATACACAAATTTCACACAAACATATTATAGTAATAACAGCTATTTAAAAAAGTTAATGTTTTAGTGATTAAAGTTATTCAGATAAAGTATTTTAGTTTTATTATTCTTTTCATTTGCAAAAACTAAATGTTACTAACATTTTCTTCGCAGACACATTTATGAGTAACAAAAAGTCATCTGTTATATAAATTTAAAATATAAAATTTAGATAAGCAATTTAATTGTCTCTTAGATGCTAGCCCAAGCCCAAATAATTCTCTTTCTTTTGTGTCGAATAGATTTACTATTGCATCCAGCAGCATCGTTGGACATAAATTGGGACACAAATAGGAATGAATAAAGGCACTGATTGGAATGCCGTTACCAGCATAGCGATTCCAATTTAAAATGCATTTTTCCAAATCAGAATTGAATGTACATTCATGGAATACTGAATGTATTCAGAGATTCAGCTTGACTGCCAATAATCTAGCACTTCGGGTTGCTTTCCTTTTCCAACAGTTCAAGTCTGTTTGAGATGATCTAAGGGAAAATATTACCAATATGCAAAGTAAAGACACATGAGAAATTTCTTTTTTTTTTAGTTGTTTTGTTTATTTTTTGTAAGATATTTGTAGTTTCTTATAGCTAAAATTTTACATGGAAGACAATGATTCTTAGGCTAGTACTTATAAGAAGACCCTAACAAACAAACATGGAAGACAATGATTCGGCTAAGACTAACTTAAGAGGCTAATAAGACACGAGGATCACAATGTGTTTACGATAGTAACGCTTGATTGTGAGAATTGAATATCAATTAGAGTTGTGTTTCCTTTGGGAGGCGAGCCCAAAGAATCCAATCTATGCCTAATATCACCCTGAGATTACGAACATGCGAAGCTGAACCCGCATCCATCCGAAGACCAATGGACGGAGACACTTGCACTTAAAGCTGCCAATTGGAGATTTTCCTGCTGGATCCTGGATTTCTGGATTGGATTGGATTTCTAGGCCTGAACCCACCGATCGAACTGCTGGCGCAACTGCTGCTCCTGGTGCTGGCGAGCTCCCTCCGCGGAGGTCCAGAAGAAGGTACCGCTGCTGGTGCGGGCGAAGTGCACCGGGATGAAGGTCTGCTCCGGATGGACGGGCACGATGTTCTGCTGCTGACCCTGCTGCACGATCATGGCCACGTTGGTGGGGCACTGGCGAAGATCGCTGTAGAGGCGCTGCTCCAGCTCCTCGTTGGCCATGTTATCGCAACTGGCCGCCGGATCTTTGCGCATGTCCTCCAGCGAGGCGTTGACTGCATTTTGGTTCTGGATCTCGGCCAGAGTCTTCCGGAGCAACTGCTTCTTCTTCACCAGCCGCAGAAGGGGTTTGACCAGTTTCCTCAGACTCCGCATGGCCGTCGTGTGCTGATCTGATTTCTGCTGCATCACCTTGCTGCTCTCAAACTTGTATTCCCGTGTGATGAACGACATTGTTGTGGGATTTTTCGAGATTGTTTTAAAACTTGGGATCTTGAGATAGTTGCACTCGGTTGAGAGTTGGTAGTGTTCTGGTTTCCCTGCTCTCGAGCGGCTCTTTATATACCATATGCTCTCTGGTTTCTCTCGGTGGGGGAGAATTCTTCCGAAGAGCGGTGGTTCTCTCGATCGGTGGGTTCGACCAATGGGAAGGCAGACTGCGGGCAGGTGGTTGCACAAACCAAGAGAGCGAGATGCGAGAGAGAGGAAAGAGAAAGTTGTACTGGGATCAGGAGAAGATCCTTACCCCTGTGACGGCAGGGTATGCTAGTTTTTTAAAGTTACACACAAAAAATGGATTTAATAGGTATCGAGGAGCCTTTCTTTAATCAATATAAATAATAAAAAATGCCTAGCAATACAGATCCAGTATGAAATTTAATAAATAAAAAATATATATCAATTTATATCAGTAGTATATTTTAGATGGCATGTCATTTAATTATGCGTGATTCTTAAAAAAAGAGAATTATTCAAACAAAAATATAAATAAAAACTACCATCTAAAAAATATTTTATAAAGGGCGGGTGTTTCTTTTTAAAGGATAAAATACAAATTTTAAATTTGAACGCTAAAATAAATTTAAAAATTGTTTAGAAAAATATATTCAAATTGATAATAATATACAGGGGTGATCAAAAGTATTTGCACATTTCTTATGAGTAAGTACGTGTAATTTGTGAAAATACTTTTGACCACCCCTGTATTGTAATTGTAACAATAGATGTAATATATACTTTTAAATTTTAAGACAAATTATGTCTTTCTATAAATATTTTAATCTATAAATGGTAAATTTTTATTTTTTTAATTTTAAGAAAAGTCAAGTTATTAAGAAATATTTAAAAAATACCTTTTTTAACAAGCAGTAAACTATTTGTGAAACTTACAAATAAATAAATTTTGTTTTTCGCATACTCTCATTTATTGTGTATTTTGTGTTACAGAATCCAGAAAAATATATACACAAATCATATGTATCCCACATGACTGAATTGCTGGGTATTACCCACTCGAGTTGCTCATTCACTGCAGGTTTTTAACGGATTTTTCGGATCTCGCTCTGCTCTCGACCTTTCTCCCCCTCTGAGATTGTTTCTCTCTCACAGTCGCTCTTTACCTGCTCGATTCTGGTGCAAAATAGTAGAAATCCCTAAATCCCAAACGTAAAATTCCTAGGGAGAACCGAGCGGACAAGTCGTAACTTGTTGGAAAAATTCCGAGCCCGAATGTGAGGGGAGAGAGATTTTAAAATTCGACACACTATCCCGAAAAAAGACGGAGGATATGGACAAACAATGGATTGGCATATCTGGGAGATACAATCTCGCCGCTGGAAATACCCGAGCGGCCAAGGGACTTGTCCGTTATTTCATTGAGACAGCCCAGAAAGTGCCTTTACGTCCTTCCGTCCGATCGTCCCTTTCCCATTTTCCCAACCTGTAGGTAGTTGGTAGTTGAGCAAAGTAACGTATTTTTCGGGTACTTACATTGGGATGGGATAGGACTCTCAAGGTTAGTCAATATGCATTAATGCCGCATTTTGGGAAATCTTGGCAGGTCCTTTTCAGCTCCTTCCGATCGCATTTGTTTGTCATTGTTGTTCTTTCCCCGGTCCGAGGGACCTGCTCTGTTGATGCGTGAAAAATTTACGACGCGGGAGAAGCACGTACAGATACAATCTTTAGAGTTTTGGTTTTTGGCTCGGTTTACGCATTTTACTGGAATTTCGTCGGCACTTCGTTTATGAGTCGCCTTCCTAATTGTTATTTGCCCTTTTCCCTTGCCCCCGAAGGTTACTTTCATAATTTTGTAACGGCTACGAGGACTCGAGTTTCTTGTAACGGCCGTTTCGTCCCTGGCATATCCTCAAGATCATTAAGAGGGTCCCTAATTGGCCCCTGGTCTGATTATTCTGCTCCTGATTACGCAGAGCTTCTTTGGTTTAGGGTTCTCCCCTTTTCACGTACGAAACCAGTTTATATTTTCTGCAATTTTTTGGGGGACTGTATGTGTTCATATATATCAATTTCGTTTGCAGTGACGCAAAGTCAAGGGGGTTAACCTGGGGCCAATACTTTTATGGCTGTCGGTGGTGAGAAGACGTGACCTGATTTGACCCTCTCAACACGTTACACGTATCGTTTACCCTTTGGTCTCCGTTTTCGAATTATTAATGAAGGGCGTATCAGGTTGTTTATATGTAAATTTTATTACTGTTCAGCATATAAAGATGACATTGCTCAGGTGCACTAATTAATTATGGGGGAAAACATATATACTAAATATTTAAATTAGGAATGTTATTTATTGAAATGTATACGATTTTCCAGATTATTGATAGTTGCCCGGTCAAATCAGCGCTTAAAATGCCTTGTGTAAATGCCATTATAAAATACCTTCTGTATAAATTAATGTCATAATTAAATTCGATTTTTCACTAGTGAAGCTAATTTAAAAGTTGTCTTTATAGAATACATAAATGATATCTCCAACATTTATTTGCATACAAAATTGTATTGAATAGAAATATTGTGTTTATTTTAATAATGACTCTTCTATAAATAAAGTAAATTACAAATCTTAAGACTTTTTTCTGAAGAAAATCCAAAAATATTTTTGGATAAAACAAAATGTTCTTTCCCAAAAGTTGTCAGTTTCCTATATTTTTTTCAAATTTGAAATCTTTAGGTTAAAAAATATATTTTATATACTTTGTACTTAAAATTTTTTCTGTAGAAAAAATCAAATAGCTAATGAATATTTTTGTGTTTTAAAGAGTCGATTGTTTTGGTTACTTTCTTTCTTTATACAGTACTAGGTTTTTTGTCGTTACCAAATAGGAACATTTACAAAAATGTTTTATTGTTCGAAAAGCAAAGAAAAAAGTGGAAAACAAAGAAATAAAGAAAACTCACCGTCGCAGTGTTTACACACGTGCAACAGTTTTCGGTCCTGAAAATATCGAACAAGTCTGGTCATGATCAGTTGGTAAAATTTTTGCTCCATTCTATAGAAATTAGGTCTCTTACATATTTGCTAAAGAGCTCAGTGCTTTAGGGTTTTTTAGAGTAAGGGTTTTGAAGAATCTTATCTGCAAACATCATCGGCCGATCTCAGCGATCTTCGCGACGATGATTGCTTTTTCATGGCTGCTGATGGCCGGCTAGTAGACCGTTAACACACAACCTCCGTGAGGTGCATTAGTTTTGGGTCATTTTAGGGTTGGCTCGTTTCGTTTTCGTCTCGTTTAATCCTCTTTTATCTTGCATTTCTGATGTGTTTGGGGTTTCTCTTTGTGTTTCGAATTTCTACCTGCCGATGCTGTGCGTTTGACCCTTGCACGTGTGCAGCGATGGACCCTTTTCGAAAATGCAACAATATACAATCGATGGAGGCGGGGGTGGAAGGGTACCATATATGACCGACGAATGCCACTCCAATCCAGCGTAATTGTGACCTTCCGGAAAAAGGGATTAAATGCCGGCATTGTCCAACATCAATTTTTTGGCCTGAAATCAGAAACTCTCCTATCCACATAATGGTAAAAGGGTCCTATCAAATGCAAAGAGTTCTTCGGTTTCACGTCAATCCAACAAAAAATGTACCCAAAATGTAAATGTTTTAGAATTGTAAGAAAATCATTTGAAGCGAAAAGAAGTTTCCCCAAAATATTCGTTTGTGTAGAATTTAAATTTGAGCGTGATGTTTTTGTGAACTCCCTTGATTGATTGATGGGTTGGGTTCGAATTGTAAAATCAAATGAGACGATCCCTTAAAAGATTGCTTTTGGGGATGAGCAATTGAGTTTGTCCTTCGTTGGTTTTATTAACGAGGTGTGGGGTTTTATTTTATGGTTGAGCAATTGAATTTGAATGGCCTTTGCTTTTTGTACACTTTTATTTATTGTTCGGTAGAGTCTTGAAGTATTCATATAATTAAATTCCGGGCCTATGTAAATAGGTATTTGAAAGTCACTTATGTAAGTACTTAATTCAAGGATTACGATTGATTTGTGATTTGCTGTATTGACTGTGAAGAGGAAATTAAACTAGCATAAAGAATTCCATAAAACTAATATAGTTTATAAAAAAAATATATTATTATTTAAGCAAAGTTAATCCAGTTAGCAAAATCTATCCGAAAGCTAAATAATTTAAATATTATTGCTCAGGATTCTTAATAACTTGTAAAATATTATTTACTGAACGTTTTTATTATTTGCTTGCACTCTTCGTTGTCGAATAAAAATAAAGATATTATTTTAATACGCAAAACTTATAATTGTAGCGACCGTAAATAACACAGGTCGACAAAAAAGAAGGCCAAGACTAAACGCTGCAAAACATGAAACGATTTTGGCTGTAGATTACTATCTCATACTTGGAAATTTTCCAAAGTGGTCATAGTTTCAAATTTTCGATTTTTAGGCACTTGGTCCTGATTTTGTCGGCCTGTGTAATCATTATCTTTCAACTAAAGACGGTTATATTAACTCAGTTACGCACAGAAGTAATTTGTTCAACCCTTGGGGAAAATAATATCTAGATCTACGATTTCAGAACAATTTTTTGTTGCATACTTTTTGAATGCCAAATTTTTTTAATTTTTCACCTGAGTGAGGGGCGATCTATCACCCTATCACCCCCGAGGACCCGCGTTAGTTATTTTTGACATTGGAAAGTAAAAATCGCAAAAGTATTTTATAAATAAATCTCACAAATCATGATTATTTTTGGTCCATGAATTTCTTGCAGTATTTCCTTTTGAATTTTCCTAACCTGAGTCCTGAGTCTTATCCAGTAAATTTTAAAAATAGGTGCTCAACATTTTTGAATTAGCAACTTTTAAAGACAATCTCCTGCTGCGAATGTGGCAGAGTTTATAGGATTGTTGCGACTTTCACAATCTCTAAGATGGTTGACATCAACCTGTTGTGTGCCTTAGTTGTTCCCGTCCTGTCAAGTGTGAAAAATCGCGCTCTTGGGACAAAAGAAAAATCCATATAAATTCTGGA